ATATTTTAAGTTACTGAAATCTGAACACAGTTTTAGAATGTACTTCAATTTCAGTACAAACTTGGTGGGAAATGTATTTCTCTCTTCCAAACCTCCCCTTCACGAAATGTTTTAACCCAACTCCGTGGCGCTCTCTCTTGGGAACAATACCCGCTATGCGCAATGCTCAAAGCGCACACCAGCATGCATTTGCACACAAATACCGCGCCATGCGTATAGTACTTTGGTTGCTAATGGTATAGTACTTTGGTTGCTAAATGGTATAGTACTTTGGTTGCTAATTGTATAGTACTTTGGTTGCTAATTGTATAGTACTTTGGTTGCTAATTGTATAGTACTTTGGTTGCTAATTGTATAGTACTTTGGTTGCTACAGGTATAGTACTTTTGGCCGTGCACAGAAAGATAGCAAAAATAGAAAGTACCATGTGACTCACTCTCAGCCAATCAAGACACAATCTGTGGGTGAGGTGTTAATAATTTGTGATAAATAAACATACATACAATGTACATGTAAGCAGTGATATGGAGTGTGTACATGTAAGTCTCGCCAGTCCACGTTCACTTTTCATGTGAACATCTCGGTACCAAACACTGAGTAGTCTAGTCACAGACTCCCGTGTTTAAATTTACCCAATTGTTATCCGCGCGATCGATTGAACGAAAATTGAGGTCAACAATTTTGATTTTATGATAGTCATCAATTCGCTATATTTTCAGTATGTTGTAAATTGTAATGTTTTCTTGTCTTTTGAAATACCCATTTATTGCCCTTGATTGGATGGGCCCAGTCAGGACACAACATAAATGCAAAAGTTAGGAAGTTATACATGTTGTACATGTAGATCCTCTACATGCTGCCCGGATGTGCTGTATTCTCATAAAATATTGGGGAATTTTTAGGTCAACTTGCACGCTCTATTAACTTTTTCATACTTACAATGTACATATAGAATACTGAGCTTAGAACTAGCTTTTTTTAACCGGTTATACCGGTACATTTGTGCGTTCTTGTTTAATTTTTTTCAACAACTTCCATTTTAAATGTTCCGACCTGAAAAAGATGATACCTTGAAGTAATCAAAGACCATTTTCTCAAAATCTAACATTTGTATCATTTGAAAAGATTTGACTGATACTGTAGTTTTGCTTTTATTGAAATAATCTTTCCACCCTTTCTGACATTCCTACTTTCCATCATGTATCTGTTTCTTTCAGTAATTATATAACTCGTATTATTTTTTAAATCCAACCAACCAATTGAAAAAAAACACCAAATATTGAAGAAAAAAAAAAGTAGGGAAAAATTAGACTGCATTTTGTACATCCCAAATTCCACAATTCAGTAAAGATTTTTAAAAAATAATTTGAAGTGGTACTTTTTTTTTTAATTATTAAAACAAATTTACAAAACAGAAAATGAAATATATTTATCAAGTAAAATTGAGCAAGTGATTACCTTCACAACTCATTGGTGCATAAATGAATTAAGAAACATTAAGGTGTATGATGATATAATTATTGCTCAAGTAGTCTGCATTTGAAGCTTGACAAGCTCGAGCGTTCGTGAGCGGCCCAAGAAACACGGAGAGTCGTCTGCCCACTGTCAAGCCGCGAGCACATTATAAAAACAACACTCTGGACATGATTGCATGCGTGAGCTGTCTAAAGCCAGGAGTATATTGCAAGTCTGAAACCACAAGTCCTTCGGGAAATCTTGTAGAAAGTGTCGACCAGGCTCATCAGACGAGCAGTAACGTGTTGAAGGGCTTAAAAAAGATCTACACCAGCCTCGACTAGAGAAATTGTTCCCCATCGCTTTTTTAATAGTCGTAAGGAGAACAGTCCATTACAACTGATTGCAACATTAAAGCCACGATAATGAACATCAAAAACTCATTACAATCTGTTCCGTGTTGCGGTACGTCTTGATAGAAAAATTTATCGCCGGCATTTATAAACACAAACACAGTAGTCAAAGTGGGGGTGCACGTCGCAATCTACTTGCCAATGATCTCGGTTTACTACGCTCGGAGCGCGACTGTTGGTAATTTGGACAAATACTGCCTCGCATTTCATATTACAAAGAAAAGATGTTCATAAATCAGGAAAAACCGAAAAGCTTTTTCTTCTTATTTTTTTTTAAAATTTTATTTTGGCACCGTCTGCGCTAATAATATCGGTTTACAGTCCCCCTGGGTACCTCGGTGTTTGGGTTTGCTTTGCGGAAATTAAAGTGTCTGATCGTCGGATAGAATGACAACGGGAGATGTGGTACATTGGATCCAGCTAGCTTGGGGAAACGGTAACAGGAACGCAGAGTCGATGGACGATGTTTGAGGCTAAAAAAATGCTTTTTACTTGCCCTGTCGGGTTGGAGGGACATAAGGGGCTTAAAGGGAAGATACAACATTTGCAAACACCAAAAACCAAAATGATCAAATTACCACAAAATTCTTTACTGGATTGTTAGGGAACGACAGTCTAAAGCATCACATACAATCATGGCTCCTAGTGTGCTGACATTTTTAAGTAAACGGGTATTTTTTTTTATCAATTTCCAACGCTGGTCGGCCGACCAGCGTTGGAGAAAACTAACTTTTTTCAAAACTGCTCCTAATTTTTTATATTTAGTTATTCCGCATTTTCTTTGCAATTGATTACACACCTGTGAAGGGGTACAAGCCTGCTAGACTGATTCTCTGACCTTATAATTCCCAACGTCTATAAATTGCTTTGTTTCATCTTAAGTGGGGTCAGGGAACCAGACTACAAGAACATGATTGGTTTTCTTGGTTTTTTTTCAGCATCTACGAACCCAAAACGTGAAACAAGTCAGTGTAACAATATTTGCTTTATCATACTATTCCTCCAAATCCATTTATTTCTGAAAATTACAGCAAAAGCAAATGTTGTACATGTTTTCCCTTTAAAATACAGGGTGGATCACACACAAAAAGAAACCCAAATGGTGCCCCCTATTTTTTTTTTTTAAAGAAGTTCTGCATGTAGCGCTTTCCAGATCTAGGATGTAAAAGCCCAAGTAATAAGCTTTCTTTTAATCATTCAAATCGCTCATGTACTTTTCCAGTTATGGAATTTTGAAGAAAACTCCATTTTTAACCTTGTCCACGGATCACATTTAAGGTACATGTATATTTCAGTAAAAATAAAACCATGTCGTATCCTGAAAATGATACCAGAATAGTCCCATAAGTCTCCGGGTTAGCCAAGTACAAGGCAGGGCAAGACTATAAACTCTTGACATTATAAAGCACTTTATTTTAACATTGGAAGCAGCAGGGTTTTATATAAATGCTATGATGAGTGCCAGTTACCATGGTTATGAGAGTGATCTGATGTGTTTATTGATGTGAATAGTTTTCGTTTTGCTGAAATATTACTAAAACCTTTATTGTGATCCGTGGACAAGCTTAAAAAACAGTGTTTGTGTTCAAAATTCCATAACTAGAAAGTATGTGAGCGATTTGAACGATTCTTTAACTAAAGGAAAGCAATAATTGGGCTTTCATATCATAGATCTAGAAAGCACTGCATACAGAACTTCTTTAAAAAATAGTGGGCGCCATTTGGGTTGTCTTTTTTTTTACTCACTCTGTACGAAAATGTACATGCACTAATGGTAATTTTATAAATTTAGGGTCCAAAGTGTGACATTTTTCCTGTCCCTGTTACCATGGCACTTTGTAATTTGCCATTCAAGTATCATTAAGAATGACTTCAAGTGATTTTTTTATTTGTTGAATATGTAGTAGGGCTGTGCATTGAAACCGGGTACCCAAGTACCCAACCATTGATGTCAGGTATCGGTTCCAGATTATGGGATCGGGTGACCGTATCTTTACAAATTACTAAGTAAGTTTTCAGACAGTGGAAAAAGAAAGGTTTTGAAAGTCATTTGTGGGGAATTTTCTACATGAAAACCAGGCTACATGGTGAACAAAACATGTTTCACGTTTATGATGCCCGCGAAAGTTGCAGTTTACACCACGACAAAGCTTACTGTACACACTTGTATCTTGCTGTATTGACGCACCAATGTGGTAGTGTTTAATCGTGAGGACCTCTATGGACAATCTCAACAGCAACTTCCGAGATTTTAATTTGGGGGTTGGGTTTCTCCCAGGTACCCATTTTTTTCAATCGGGTACCCGTTTCCCTTGTTAAAATGCACACCCCAAGTAGATACATGTAGTTTGCTATTCATAATCACTCTTGGAGGATGACTGCATTAAGGAGGGCATCAGAATTATACAATCATAGATGTCAGATGTAACAGGGACGGGAAAAAAAAGTGGACCACAAATTTATAGAATGATTCAAACAGATCTGTGAATTTTTGGACAGCCTGACAAGAGGGCTTTTCTAAATGTAGAGTCTAATTTATTTGTTATGTGGTCAAGTCTGTCACTAATGTACGGTAAGTCAATCGCAAGTCATCAAGTCTCGAGAGAAGTGAAAAAGAATCATATGAATTATGTTATCCCCTGTTACTTGTAACTTCACTTATGATCCTACTTGTGATTGGCTTGTGATTGACTCATGATTGACCTGTGACTAACTTGTGATTGACTCCTAATTGACTTGTGATTGACATGTGATTGACTTGTGTCTGATTTACGATTGACTAGTTTATTTATTTATTTATTTATTTATTTCTTATTTTAACTGGGTAGCCCATTCAGTGGAATCCACTGATCTCCCATGGGGCCCAGTAAAGAGAAGACAATGTGAAGACATTACAGTCTTAGAGGTGGGAGGAAAAGCCCAGAAGAGTATTCTGAGGAAAACCCACGGAATCAGGTAGGGACTGAAAACCCAATCCACATGTTGGCCCAGGCGGGATTCGAACCCGGGTCACAGCGGTGGAAGGCGAGGAAAGAACCGCTACGCCAACCTGACGCCCACTAGTTGTGGCATTGTTGTTGACATCAGTACAACTCTGATATTTCTCTCTGCTCTAACATTTCCTCCGTTCAGGTTTCTTCATCGATGATGACCTGCTCTACGAAGACCTCCTTGATATCAACGAAGATGAGGATGCCGAACCAATCATGGAGGACTCGGACTCCAGCTGGGGCTCGGAGGAATGGGACGATTACTCGGACGAAGACAGCGACAGCGAGCTGGTCCACAGCTACGTCATCGAGCCCAACTCTCCCGCACCGGGGAAACGAGCATCGCTGGACAACAAGGCCGCCACGCGGCAACGCTCATTGGTCACGACGTACGGGATGGACCGTAAGGAGGATGAAAAACCACAGGTAATGATCGCAAAACGTAGAAAGTATCCCTTTCAGGGCCTCAACGTTAACTTTTATTCCACCATGTGTTTGGGAAATGACGCAGCTAGCAGTTAGAAATCTATGGAATTGCACGAGGTGTTAGCGTTTGAACAAGACTCCCCCAACTTCTATTGTGTCTGGTTGTCTGTTTTTAATGTTTGTCTGTGCATGTTTGTTTTCTTTTTCCATCAATTGATAATAGGAAGAAGGTTCTAATGATGAAATGAGCGAAGAACAAAAACATAAACGGAGAAAGGTATATTCCGTAGCAGAGTGTGTATGACAACGCCTAGTTTCACAGCTTAAAAAAATAGTAAAGCTATAATTAAAGAAATGCACCCCCCCCCCCAATTTATTTTCAAAAGTATTCTTAGTGATGTATTCAGTACGTAGTTTTGATGTGCTACACTTCCTGTTCAAATATGGGGCTTTTAGCTACATGTAGTCATGGTAGTGAGGCTTGTCGAAAAATATAAAAGCATTGCTTTGTGTGGTGGTTTCATTTTCTAGTCTTTTTTGTATTATTCCTGCGCTTGCATTTCATGGTTGGACAGCGATATTCAAAGCGTCTATTCAAAATCTGAGGCCAAAAAGTTTCTGTTCCTGGTTCTAGGGTACATATTCATGTAAAGTTAGTTTTATTTATGTATTTGGTGCGATGATACACTATTTTCCTTCACCTTTGTCCCAACTACATAATAAATATCTAGGTTTCCGAAAAAGGAAAAAAAAGCAAAGGTCTGTCACGAGCCAATGTGGCTCATCAGGCCGGCGTTTATCTCCGGTTTCCTTGGCATGAAACAACTGAGAATATTTCTATTCCCCCTGGATGGGATGCCAGTCCATCGCAGGTTACTCCCCAGCTAATGCTGGTACCCATTTATACTTCTGGGTGGAGAGAGGCAAGTGGGGTGAAGTGGCTTGCCCAAGGACACAACATATGACCAGCAGCTGGATTCAAACCCCTGACCCTCTGATTTTGAGTCACGAACCGCCCCAAACTGCCCAGCACTCCATGGTTTCATGGATTTATCAAGGAATAAATACAATGTAATACAAATATGCTAATGGTTAAAGTGAGGAGCAGTAATCAAAGATTAACATTTTTTTACTTGCAAAATGAAATAGCAACTGCGATTTCTAAATTTCCATGCCATTGCAGTTCAACTCGCCAAAATCTTTCTTCAGGACACGTTTTTCATGACATTGTCAACAATTTCATTTTGGAAAAACTCGCTCATTTTCTCGATGATCATCATTTTTTAACAACCCCTTTTCATTGCAGATTTCTTCCAAAAGCATTCTCTTTTCGAAATTCCTTCCAAACCACTTATCACCATTCATTTATTATTTTGAAACATTGAATACCTTACTCTAAATCTTCCTTCTTTGATTAGAATTCTTGTCAAATCATAGAAAAAAATACCGCGATGGATAGTCCCTTTAAAAATTGCCTGTATGTAGAGATTCTGTAGATTTCAATTTTCTAAATTAAATTTCAGTGACAACTGATTATGCACCAACTTAAAGGTAGAGTACATCATTTGTCATTTGTGAATTTTGTTCGTTTGAAGCAACAAAACTGCTCAAAATCTAAAGAAGGGTGCTGAACAACCAACTTGATGAAGTTTTAGCTCAGTGAATGCTGTATATTCCAAGAAAACAATATTCTAGGATCTCAATTTCAATTCAAAAGTTGCCAAGTCATGTTTTGAATTGCGGCCGAAATAAACGTCCGGGACATGTTCTCATTCAGCCGATTGCAGCTACGCGATGTCATGCACTGAACTGATGAATAATTAATAGCAACCGTGCGCAGGTGTGCGTGGTGTCAACGCTTTCACACACACATTCACCGCTTCGCCAAATTAAAAACAAACTACTAACAGAAATTTCCCAAAAATGTGTCTTTAGACGCATCTTTGGAAAATGACCTTCTTTGATTGTTTTCTTCAAAATGACAGCGTGCCAGAAAGAATAATTTTACAGGGACTTTAATAGTGCCATCTTTAAACCAAATATGCTTTTCAACAATAATTTTGTCAGTTACTTTTTGGATAGCTGCAAATGATATACTCTACCTGCACCGTACCTTTAAATATTGCCCGTATGTTGAGACTCTGGAGATTTCAATTTTCTAAATTAAATTTCAGTGACAACTGATTATGCAACAACTGAACAGGCTCCTCGCAAAATAAACACATGCGGTCATTTTTTTTTGCCAGAAAGTGCAGTTCCCCATGAAATTTTTTTGACATCTATGGATGTATTTGCAAATTTGCGGTTGGCTTCCTGCTGACGTGGCGCCATTGTTTGTTTCCTCTTGGGCATGTGTTCACGTCAGTGGGTTGCACATCTCAAATGAAGCATTCATCCGTGCAATGATATTCAGCCATATGTCATGTCTTATAAGAAAATGAAATTTTATATAAGAATTGCGAATATGTGATATGTCGTGTCTGTTCAAAATGTGTATTGCATGTAACTTCCATTGTGGTGGGATTCAAATCCGTATTTTTTAACATTCGGTTTGAATTCCACAATTCGATTTCGGTCTAACCAGTTTAGAAAGATTTTTTTTTTCTTCACACACGTTCTGTAGATTTGCTAGAAATTCCAGTGTAGATTTTCACCCTTTAGAGCCCTAGGAGACTTGTGCAACCTTAGGCAAGACCCGAATTTGTATTCTTGATTAACCCTAACTCCTTACTGAGTTTTACTAAGAACAGTACCAGGTCCGTCAAAATCCATCACTGACTCGGCTTCACATACATGTAATGCTTTAGGACCAAATCCGCCGAAATCCACCACAAATTCACCGCTGCTATGCCGGTAACGATATTGCGTTGATCCAAAAACGACTTTGCCGTATTATAGTACAGGCATTATGCTAAACATTAAGGGGTAACCTCAAACAAATTGCAACAGAAACCATTTAAAAAGGTTATTACTCAGAAAAATATCCTCTATAACATATTAAAAGTCTTAAGAAATCCGAGTGGTGGAAAGTAGTTTTCTAATGTGTTTCTTAACCACACCCAGTACCACTTTTTTTGCTACTTTATAATGGAATATTTAGTGATGCTGCAACAATATATTTAATACTAAACACAGAGAGTTGATCTTAATTTATTATTGAGATGCCCATTGACTTCAGAAAAGATCTGTAGATGATTTATATTCATTTATTATGCTGTAATATATATATACTATCTGCAATATGATATATATATATGAATCTATATATAACATATAGGTTCAGTCTATTCTGCTACCATTGGTTTCACGCACACGCACACTGCGTGGCGATCATCAGGCGAATTTACTCATTATTCTAGACCTTGGTAAGTTTCAATATCCCTATGTTTTCCAAATTTGCGATATGCCGATAATAATTTGCATAAATGCCATTTATTAATTTGCATAGATTAAAGTTAAAATTATGGCTGTCATGTGTGGACATGTCACAATAAAATTTTCCCTGATAATCCAAGTCCAGTCATGTACATAAATTAATTTCACACCATGGTGCATTGCTATAAGGTTCCTTAAAAAAGGAAAGAAATCCAAGTGGTGGAAATATGCCTAATTTGCATAAATTCAAAATGGCCACTAATTACATGATTTTTGATTCGGCCATAACTCTTGTCCTGCATTGCTTTTTGGAGTACTTTGAACAGCAATTTGTCCTTTGACATTGATTTCATCATCATTCCAGTCCGTGGTACCTTATGAGATCCTATGTTTCCTATGGGTATAATATTTTTTGTTAAGGTTTCTAGCTCTTGTCAAAGTTGGTATAAGTGTTGGAAAATGTGATATCCCTGTGTCGCAGAGCGAACCCTTGCGCCGCTCTACTCGGACCAAAAATCAAGGAATAACTCAAACGAACAGAGGATTCAACACAGGAGTTACAAATCACAAAAATCAAATTATATATTACGGGAAATAAATAAACCAAAAAACCGCAAACCTCAATCCGAAAATACGTGGGCGATGGTTTTATACCCCTCCCGCATGGGTGCAAGCCCGGAATTGGTATGAAACAAAGGGAAAAGGAATTACGATTTGCATAATTCACCTAGCACCCACCTCGGAAGTTACATAACACTTTACGGCCGTAAAAAAAAATAAAAGATTGATGAATTAACTCAGAAAATAAAAGGAATAATTTTAACACATTTCAGGGACAAACAAATCCCTACTTTAAATCCACTAGTACACTGCATAGGGATATCACATTTTGCAACGTGTATGCCAACTTTGAGATGAGCCAAAAACCGAACAAAAAATATCTTTCCCAATTTGTTGAAATTTTGTAGCGAACATCTTGGGGTTTAATTTTCATCCAAGTTTGTTTCAATGTCGGGTGATCCTCTAGGTCAAATTCAAGGTCAAATTAAAGGTCAAAATGTCATTTTACTTAAAATAACCCCGACATGAAAAAAAAATTGTAAATTTGGATTTCTCATGATGTAACCTTTCAAAAGAAATTAAGATTAACACATTAGGCTCACAGATTATAGAAATATGGTAATTTAAAAATGGCAGCAATGTCCATTTTGACCAAAATTGCCTGGGCGGTAGCGCAAAAACTGTTTGTCCGATGGTGCTAAAACTTAAAAAAAAATTCAGCCGAAATTACCTCATAAACTAAATATGATCCAATTTGAAGAGGTTGGGGTTTCAAATTTATTTATTTTTTTTTTTTTTTTTGGGGGGGGGGGGGTGATTTGACACTGAATGGCCCCAATGTCAAATGACAAAATGTTGTTTAAAATACCCCGAAAAGCAACTTAAGACGAGAGTTATTACTAGATAGCATATTATGTCATATTTTTGGCCACTGCATTTTTCTTTGCTAAAGAAGGAATTGTTCTCATAATTATTTGGATAGACTTTACCTTCCTAAGCTGGAAATCCATTGGTAACATTTTTTTCTATCTACCATGTGGCGGTCATCTTGGAATTCAAAATGGCCGCCATTTCGGGCCTAATTTGTATCTAACTTCGGACCTGATTGTCATATGAAGTTCATTTTGGTGGCAAACCCCATGATTTGATAAAAAATGAACCCACTGTCACCACTCCAAAATTTGGCTAATTCTAAAAATTGGGAATGGTAACCCCGGATCCTATAGGACACACCAACAGACACAATAAATGACAAGAAAGAACAAACTTCTAATATCTCCAATTATATTAACAACTCTCCAAGTTCTGAGCACTATAATTATGTACAGCAAAATCTTATAATCAAATTCTTCAATTTAAATCACACTCTTGATCTTGGAAGAAGATTCCCAATTCAACTTCAGATCAGGTGAATTACTTCCAACTTATTTAATCAATCAATGACAAGATCATAAAAACACTTATGTTCAATTAATCAGTTAACTCACTTCCAAATTATTACATCAATCGATGACAAGGATCATAAAAAGTACGTTCAATCAATTAATTACAAAATCATAAAAAAAAAACACTGTTCAGTCAATCAGACACTCTCAATTTGTTTCCAAATGTAACTCCGTTACCAGACTTCTCTTAATTATGTACAGTTCGGGCACTTCCCTTTTACCAGTTTCTACAAACTTTAAAGCGTTGGAGTTCCGGCGTGTGAGGGCTCGCAAGACCGTGTAGTGGGCACAACTCACAGGACTCGGCCGGCTACGCCTCGGTACAGACTCTACATCCGTCTACAGCACCTCAGTGGTAGACTCCTTCTCCAGTCGGTGTTAGAGTCGACAGGGGAATACTCTCAACAAAAAGGCCATCTATAATAAATATAAATCCAAAACCTTCCTAGTTCTCAAATATCTATATAGATTATGATCTAGTTTTGACATATCATCAAATTCAATTTTCACAATTGCATATCATCAAAATTCTCACTGCTAAATAGTTAACTCCAATCTCCTCGAAATTGTTCAATCAGAATCGTTATTTCACAATGAACTTAATAATTCTTATCACCAATCTTGAAGGCTCATGACATACTTGAACTTAGATATAATAGGCAGGAAAATCACAAATTTACTCTACTTACGGTAATTTGCCGTGCAGCTTTCTTGGGGAGGCGAACTGTTGCCAGGAAATGTCAAAGACGACCGGGACTGGAATTTGGCCCGAATTTACCAAATTCTAGATACGGAACAGAATTTCCGTCTCTCTTCCCATAGGGATCAAACGGATCCACAACGGCTATGATCTGCTGTTCTCAGATATCTGATGCGAGGGAAGTTACAACCGGTCTCTCAAGCACACGATCGCTCTCCAAAACTCTGTCTTTTCTCGAACAAGTCAAAATGTCTTCTGCCTCTCTCTATCTCTCTCTCTCTCTTACAACAAAACAAACTCCAACATACCACACACAAAAGGCCCTAAACGGCGTTTCCGAAAAGTACAAAACAATCTATTCTTTACTGACTGACGTGATTTGTTCAACAATTAGGGTGGGCGTTCTCTGACAATTACCATGGCCTTATACAAATGCTGTTGCGTAAGATAGAAGGGCTTTTTTAACACTCCACGAACGCCTTAGCTTTAAGTGAATGAGTAAAGTCTACGCGGGACTGAATGACACGTTATTGGTTAAAACTTTCGGACGATTTCATTTATGGCGGGGTGCACAGGTATATACAAAATAAAACAATAATGAGCGGAACGCAGTAAACACATGATCGGCGAAAATAATTATACACTTATCGGTTGCACTGTAACACCCACGAAAATCATTGTTGATGGGGTATACTCCCAGTGGAGTACCCCATCAACAATGATTAACTTGGTATCAATAACATATGCAGGTTGCCACCAAAATGGACTTCATACGACATTCAGGTGCCACCTTATTATTTAAATGAAATCAAAGATGGCCGCTAATTTTGAATATCCAATATGGCTGCCATCCATTTGGGATGCCTAAATGTGCTAATTGGATTCCTTGGTATCAAATTTATGGGCTTTGCCACCACCAATAGTGACTTCATACGACATTCAAGTCCAAATTTATTATGCAAATAGTTCAGAATGGCGGCAATTATGAAATATCAAATATGGCTGCCATCAACTGTAAGTACCCCGTCCACAGTGATTTACTTGAATTCATTCAAATACATGGACTTCATAGGACATTCAGGTGCAATGGGTCATTAAGATTACTTGGTATCAAATGTATGGGGTTTGCCACCGAAATTGACTTCGTACGCCATTCGAGTCCAAATTCATTATGCAAATAAGCCGAAAATGGCGGCCATTTTGAAATCCAAGATGGCCGCCACACGGTAGCTGGGAAAAAATGTCTTCAATGCATTTCCGGATTAGGGAGGTAAACTCTTTCCAAATATGGCAAAAATTACTTCTTAAACAAACAAAAAAGCAAAAGTACATAACGGCCTTTATACTATTATGGCCGTGCCAAATCATATGAAAATCATGTAATTAGCGGCCTTTTGAATTTATGCAAATTAGGCATATTTCCACCACTTGGATTTTTAACAACTTTTTTAGGGACCTTATAGCAATGCACTGTGGTGTGAAATTTGACTTGGATTATCAGTGAACACTCGATCGGTACATGTCTATACATGGCATCCATTATTTTAACTTTAATTAGGCAAATTGATATACGGCATTTATGCAAATTATACGGCATTTGAAAAAAATCGGAAACATAGGGATCTTGGAATTTACCTAGGACTTAAATAATAAGTAAATCAATGTAAAAGGACTAAAACTGTTGTTTTAAGTACCTCTAAAATCCACCTAGTATGAGAAATATGACCAAATCAATGCGAAAGTCCTAACATATGCGGCCATTTTGGATTTATGCAAATAAGGCATATTTCCACCACCTCGATTTCTTAAGACTTTTAGTATGTCATTTTAGGGACCTTATAAAAATGCACTGTGGTGAAAAAAATTCTGTTGCAATTTGTTTGAGGTCAAACCTTATATTGCCTGTACTATTATTCTAGGAAGTCAATACAATTGTACATTGGTTTAATACGAACATGCTCTATCTACATGTACTCTGTGTCTGGATCACTTTTATGATAGAAGAACTACTATATTGTACAAAATTTGCTCTAAGTGCTTTTAAATCAGGCAGATTTATTGAGTTCCCTTTGCCCCTAATTGAGCTGTTGACGAGTTGCAAGATTTCGAGACATAGCGCGAAGATATCAAATTTTTTTTAGTTCTGTATACGCAACAACCTGGGCAGGACTACAATATTTTAATATATCTATTATCACAACAATTGCACCTGCAATGCCCAGTGAGTTCAGAATGAAGAAAATTGCAGTATTGGTTACAATCATTCGGAGGACCTTGCCTGCTCGCTTGGGACGGTTTGGCAACAGGGCTGATTGCTTGCGAACTTTCACCACTACATAGATGTACAAAGCAAGAGTAACTATAAAACAGACAATGTTGATAACGAACAAAATCCCAAAGCGGATGTAACTGAAGACAGGATTTGGAATGAATACCAGAATCACACCAACAATAATTGTAGGCACCCAGAGTGCTGCTGATATCTTTGCTGCTCGAGATTTAGAAGCTTTTTCGTTGAATGTCCTGAGGATTGTGCACTGAAGAGAATCTCTCAGCTGCTATGGTAACCACAAAGAAATTACAAGCTGCTAGGAACGTGTACTGCACAATTAGGAATGCTTCTTCGACTTGTAAGATGTTGTACTCTAAAGGTTTTAATAGTGCAGCTATAAAGTCAATCATAAGGCGAAGCGAGTCAGCCACAGCCAGATTGGATAAGTAGATGTTGATGATTGTACGCAAGGACTTCCCTATATCAAAAAATTCACACACTATGAATCTTAGATCGAGTAGAACACTTGAGGAGTATCCCAGTTCATCCAAGAGATTTAGAAAAAGCCGGTACCCTATCTCACTAGACTCATCAATAATTCAACATAGGAGTTTTAACTGTTTTAAATTTTCAATTACTACAGTGTATTATCGATTGTATTTGTGGATTTTGTATGCATATTAATTTTTCTCGTAATTTTTTTTTTTTTTTAAGTTAATTTACCTTTACTTGTAAATCACTATGCAATTCAGCTATTGAGCTGCTAAATGGTGATAATTAACCCAATTAATAATAATAGATCGGAGGATGGATTTTGATGGAGTTCGGAAGGTCAGGGTTAATCATGCAGATTTGTATACATGTTTAAAATGTTGACAGTGCAAGTCCACTAACACGTCTTGAAGAATTAACCATGACCTGTGTCTTGTCAACTTTTCCTTCCATAAATGTTTTTGCTCCTGTCTCTAACACAACTCACCATCCATCTGTCATCCCATCTCTGTCACTGTTTGTCACCCCATCTGGCAACCTGCACCTACGCACTGTAGTCGTATCTAGATTGGGTGAGTTTGCTTTCGGGAAAAAAAGGCTTCAAATAGACAGAACTTGCTTTGCTTTTCAACACGTTGTGGTAGAGCATTTACTGAAGTAGTTTGTTTGATTGATAGACTGTTTGATTAGGCTCCGCCCACATGATGTTTGAACCAATCACAGCTGTCCTGTGCAATCAAATGTCCAACAAAAGATTGATAAGTGTTGATGAAGCTACTAGTCCATGGGAAGAGAGGACAAAAACACTTTAGTTGTTGAGATTGGCGATCTGGTTTGCCGAATTATATAAAACTTTCCAGACATGTAGATTATGATGTACCCTATCGAAAAACATATGTTCCCGCTTCCACAGTTTGGGAATGAGAAAATCTGGGATAAAAACGCCGAGAATTCATCATGAGAAAAAAAAAATAAGAAACAGCGCCCTCTATTGACAAAGCCAGAATCCTTTCGCACGCAATGAGTGCAGGCTAGATGATGCTTCTTTTATGTTAAATTCTGTTTTTTTGGTCATTTCTCATCAGGATGCCAAAAATTCTTCATTACGCGTTTATGCATTGCAGTCGCACTCGGCTTGCGCGTGTGTATGAACTAGCGACTGTTGCGGGCCTTATTCCAGCCAGCTGTCGATGTATTCTCAGAAATGTTGTGATCCCTGAAAGACTGCATGACGCCTACGTGTATGTCATTTGGAAAGTGTATAACACACTCAAACTATTTTGGAAAAGTAGAATGATATTCGGAGCACTTTCAATTGCAGTCTTGCGAAGGTGGGCTCCAATAACGTCGGCATCTTGGACTTTTGTGTACGCTATAAAACATGCAATTTGATTGGCTCTTTTTAAGGCTGTACACAGACCTTGCGTATTATTGGTGGGTTTTCATCCCCTCTCAGTTTCATATTGTCGAAACAAAATTATGGCTGTATCCTCGAACATCAACCTTGTGAAGTCCCAATCGAAACACGAATGCGAGAACGTTGTTCATTGTCACTTTTGATTTTTCTGCTATGAAATACGGGATATTAGAAAACATTCGTCAAACCAGATCGCCTGGCAAGTGAAAAAAAAGGCCTCGTCCCATGGACTATACGCCACACGCAGCTGGAACATGCAGTAAGGCTTTGGAGAGGTGTACTTGTTGCCCACGTACGCAGTGGGCGCGTTTCAATGGATCAGTGTGTTAGGATGCGTTCTTGTGAAATCATGAATTTCTCTCAAATGAACAACCTAATATGTTTCACTGTTAAAACATGAGTAGAAGAGAGAAATTCAACATTTTCTGACATACATGTACAGGGGTCTGCAAAGGCCCAGTTCGGGCAAGGATCATTAGTCGACTAGTGGTTGATTTGTGACGTACCTTACGCCTGCGCACTGATAGCAACGTGCGAACGTCTCTAGTCAAACGCTGGTCAAAATGTCATCCCAAAACTTCTGGATCCTGGCTCTCTGCTAGCGTTATGAATGCGCGCGGCTATTGGTTACCAGCGAAGCAACCAACCCCAGTAGGCTGGTTCCAAATAGTCGACTAGCGTAGTCAACCACCGTTGACTAGACAGAGTTCGGGCAAACGTTAGTTAACCATTGGTCAACTATAGTCCTTGCGCGAACTTGGCCAAAGACTGTACTGTGTTTTGATACCACTTTGAAACTTGAGTGGGTAGATACAAAGTTGGAAAGTATCTCTTTCCCATATTTTGTCGAGTTTTGGACTAGCTGTCCCAAAATAATCTATATGTACACACACTCCATTTTATTGCCCAACTCAATTTCTCAATTTAACTGAGACCCCTTTCACATGTCCATAGGGTATAGGTTAATTCAGGACTCACTTTAATTTTCTCTTAGATGGAGAGTGTTGAACGTTACTAACAAGTTGAAGACTTGTTTATGTTCCTCTGTGTTTTACGTTTTCTTATGCTTGTGTGGATTTTTTATATGTATTTCTTATTAGGTGAAAGAGTTCCGAGGTCGTAGTAACCTAGACAAGGTGAGGAACTTCTTGTTTGGACGACATGCTGGACCCAAGGAGGAGGAGAAAGAAGACCTGGATGAAGGTACCTAGCCAAACCTAGTCGAACCCAAGACAGTGCAGCCCTACTTGACCTATTGCAACCAGACCCGACCCAACCAAGGCCCAGCTCACCCAACCCAACCCAATCCAGCCCACCTAAGCCCAGCCGTACCCAACCCAACCCAACCCAACCCAACCAAGGCCCAGCTCACCCAACCCAACCCAACCCAATCCAGCCCACCGAAGCCCAGCCGCACCCAACCCAACCCAACCAAGGCCCAGTTCACCCAACCCAACCCAACCCAATCCAGCCCACCCAAGCCCAGCCGTACCCAACCCAACCCACCCAAGCCCAGCCGTACCCAACCCAACCCAACCAAGGCCCAGCCGCACCCAACCCAACCCAACCCAATCCAGCCCAGCCATACCCAACCCAACCCAACCAAGGCCCAGCTCACCCAACCCAACCCAACCCAATCCAGCCCACCTAAGCCCAGCCGCACCCAACCCAACCCAGCGCAGCCCAACTCAACTCAGCCCAACCCGACCAAGCCCAGTCTAGCCTAGCCCAGCCCAGCCCAACCTATCCAAGCTCAGCCAGCCAGCCTAGCCCAGCCCAGCCCAACCCAGCCCAGCCCAGCCCAGTGCACCCTAGTCCAGCCTAGCCCATCCAGCCCAACTTAACCAAACCAATCCCAGCTCACTCAAACCAAGCCCAACACAGCCCAGCCCAAACCAACCCAACCCAGCCCAGACCAGCCTAGCCCAACCCAAGCCAAATCGGTCAAGTGTAACCCAACCCAACCAAACCAATCCCAGCTCACTCAAACCAAGCCCAACACAGCCCAGCCCAGACCAACCCAACCCAGCCCAGACCAGCCTAGCCCAACCCAAGCCAAATCGGTCAAGTGTAACCCAACCAAACCCAACCAAACCCAACCCAACCAAACCAATCCCAGCTCACTCAAACCAAGCCCAACACAGCCCAGCCCAGACCAGCCTAGCCCAACCCAAGCCAAATCGGTCAAGTGTAACCCAGCCCAACCAAACCAAACCCAGCCCAAACCAACCCACCCCAATTCAACCCAACCAAGCCCAGCCCAACCCAACCAAACCAAGGCCAACCCAACCAAACCCAGCCCAATCCAACCAAGCCCAGCCCACTCGAACCTAGCCCAACCCAACCCAACCCGACCCAACCAGACCCAACTCAATACAACCCAACTCCACCAAGCCGAACCAAACCTAACCTAACCTAACCACTTTTTCATTGTATCCAGCCATGTCCAGACTACAGTTGCTCTTCGTGCCTCAAAGCTGGGAAGTAGACAGCAAAAATAGTTGTACACAAGATTTTGTCTAAGAGTTGCAAATGGAAGTCAGACAAAACGAACAACAACAAAAATCTTGCATTTTTTGCCCAACACTTGAGGTTGATGAGAGCGAAACATGTGACAGACTTTTTCCACACAAGTCCTTTTTAATTTTCACCATCTTCAGACAAGGATGATATCCACTACATTGACGTCAAGCTGTCGCAGATTAAGCACCCGCCCCCGGCTCTGCCTCCCCAACCCAAGGGCCTAACAACTGAGGAGGTTGTCCGTCGACATGTGGTCCAATCCATCATTGACAGTGAGAGGTCTTACATGCTATCACTTCAGCGGCTAATCCAGGTATTATTAAAGATGTTGTCCAGTTTCATCCTGAAAAATAGATTCCTTTTCTAAAATTGATACTTTTCTAGCGATACAAAAGTTATTCACTTTTGAATGAGACGTCAACTGAAAAAAAAATCCCCCCCCCCCCTCAGTTTTTGAATTATTAATTTGCAAATTTTGAATTACTTGTCCCGAAAATAATTCTGTTCTCGCTGGGTATGTTGGTTCCTGCGCCACAATCAGTATCGATAGTGTATGATGCTGGGAACTAGTCTGCTCGTAACTCGACTCTTTTGTGTGGCCAAAAATAAAACCCTTTTTTTTTCAGGAGTTGCAGATGGCCAAAAAAATTGGAATAAAACAGACAAGTTTAACATTGATCAAGAGAACAAAAATTGAATTTGTTGAAGAGCACGGATGAAGTAACTTAAATTAACGTCTCATTTAGACATTCTTGAAAGAGTTGAGTACTGATGTAACGAAACATCTTGCGATTAAAGGCACGGAGAACATTGGTAATCAGCCGGAATCTTAACTACTAAATTTATGAGGAAAAACTTGCTCAAAGCGAAGATAGGGACGGTTCGAAATATCCTGTGAAAATGTTCCACCAGAAATGGTCTTGATCAAAAGAAAACGATCACTGAAGGTGGTTTCAAAAAAGTGTGCCCGCAGTCACACTTTTTACATGCATTGGCAAAGGAAGCCTGTTACATATCTCTCCTCCGTATTCTCAAAATGTGTAGTAGCCACTGAGCTATTCGTAAAACTACATGTACAACAGGTTGTTATTATGCAGCATTAAAGATTTTGAGCAATTTTGTTTTTTCTTCTTCTTCTCCCTCTCTCTTCCCCAAGGCTTACGAAAAGCCCCTTCTAGACAGTCACCCGCCTCTTCTAGAGAAGGAGAAAGTGCGTATGATCTTCTACCGAGTCCGTGGCATCTACCAGTGCCATCTCATGTTCCAGATCGCACTGTCCAGCCGCGTCAAGAACTGGGACTCCTTGGATCAAATCGGGGACGTCTTCGCTGCCTCGGTAAGACTAAGACCATTTAATACCAGTCACCAAAGCGAATGCAAACTAGTGACGTTGTGGCAAGATTGCAACTCTGATGTTTGCAGCAATTGTTTGGCTTCGCAGGTGTATTGTAACAGGATTCCATTGAAAAAAAAATAAGAAGAATCTGCTGGTATCAATCACTGATTTCTGTAAAAATCCTGCTGTAAACGTTTTAACCAATTCTTCCGTCTTCCTAATGCCCCAGTTTTCCAAGGCGATGGTGTTGGATGTGTACAGTGCCTACGTCAACAACTTCACCAATGCAATGGAAGTAGCCAAGAGAGCGGCCGCCCAGAAGCCAGCATTCAGAAACTTCATTGAGGTGAGGAAATAAATAGAAAAACAGACCGATTTGTCTTCTAATAATAACAATATTGGCTTCTTCTATATCGTTCATGTCCGTCATGAAGTGACGCTCCTGGCGCTCTTATTATTACCCTGGCTTTAGCACGGCTGCCATTACGGGGCTGAAGCATTGAAGGCATTTCTTCCTACCAGGTACCCATTTACTACACCTGGGTGGAGAGAGACAATCATAGTAAAGTGCCTTGCCCAAGAACACAAGCACCATGTTCCCTGTCAGGGTTTGAACCCATGTATCACGGCACATGAGTCAAACACCGTAACCATTGGACCACAGCACCCCTCAAAACTTAAGCGTGAGGCCGCTATGTTGGTGGTTGGGTTGTTGAGTTTGTTTCTGCATTCAATTGGGGACGTTGAACAATAGAGGACAATAGGGTCCCCAATTCCCGAGAGGTCCCGGATTTGGATTCGTGTACAAAACATATGGGAGGTCTTCCTAAAAAGCTAGGGTACAAACAAAAGAGGGACAACAGGGGGTCCCCGATTGCAGGCAAATACATGCTTGTGTGAGTGGGTAGGTGGGTGGGTTGGTGGACTACAATCCTGGCCAAATCTCGCTGGGCCCCCAACCCCCCGGCCCCCTTTCAATGTTGTCTCTCATTGCGCGGTGTGTGCTCCATCAGCTGGAGAGGACAACCTTTAACCGGGGGAGCGGGGGAGTGGGTGACCGTGGCAGGCTCAGGAAGTGTCCAAACCATTTTGGCCAGTATTGTAGATTCTAGATCAAGTTAAGAGCAAGCACCATTGACCAACTAGAGGTTGATTTGTGATGGACCTTTAGCCTACTTGTTGAGGAGAATGAAACGAGCGATAACTTGACGTTGAATTCCGAGGTATCCTGTAAAACTCTGTGCTGATTCAACCCCTTCCCACCCTTACCTTTTTGATCATTGGCTAAGATTCTCTTGGATGTCTTTCTTTCCTTTCTCCAGACTCGGCAGACAAGTAGCAGCGATCGTCTCAGCCTCTATGCACTCATGCTGAAACCCATTCAGCGCTTCCCGCAATTCATATGTCTTCTCCAGGTACGTTGATGGGAAGATTTGTTTTGATTAATTAGCGGGATGTCTAACTGGCCAGCTGGCTGCCTGGCTCAAAGGCCAGCCAGCTGGCTGGTAAACTGGCTTGCAAATTGGCAGGTAAACTGGCCATATGTCTTCTCCAGGTACATGGTATGTTGATGTGAAGTTGTGTTGTGATTGATTGGCTGGATGTGTTACTGGCCAACTGGCTGCCTTGCTCAAAGACCAGCAAAGTGGCTGGCAAACTGGCTTGCAAATTGGCAGGTAAACTGGCCAGTATAAAGTCAAGTCTGTCATGAGCCAATATGGCCCGTCGGGCTGGTGTTTATGGCCTATCAGGCCGGCGTTTATGGCATGAAACGACCAAGGCCATATCTACTCCCCCTGGATGGGATGCTAGTCCATCGCAGGTTGCTCCCCAGCTAATGCCAGTACCCAGTTATACCCCTGGGTGGAGAGAGGCAAGTGGGGTGAAGTGGCTTGCCAAAGGACACAACATATGGCCAGCAGCTGGATTCGAACCCCTGATCCTCTGATCATGAGTCACGTAGTCTAACCACTAGGCAACACCCCCCTGCAAACCAGTAAACTGGCCATTTCGCATGCGTGTGGCATGACGTAAGCGCGACAAAGTTATTCTGACTCATCGCAAACCTGTCACATCTTCGCGTGACCATCAGGCATCATCAACAATGCATACAAATGTCCCTACCAGTGGTCTCCCCAAACTCTCTCATTTTAACCGCTAAGCGGCTACTTTATGCAGTATCTGTTTTTCTTTTGTGTGTTTTATTACTCCAGGATCTCTTAAAGCGTACGCCGGCCGGTCACGCGGACCGCATGCCGCTCCAGCTAGCCCTGACTAAGCTAGAAACCCTGGCCAGCGTGCTGAACGAGAGGAAACGGCAGAGCGAGCAACGCTACGCCGTCAAGCAACTCATGAAATGTCTCAACGTCAAGTTCTCCGTCAAGGTTAGAAAATTCAGTAAGACCGGGTCCGAATGACTTGGCTACAGCTAGAAATAATGCACAAGTCTATGAGAAGTGGCTGCAGCAACTAGCCAGTGGCTTTTAGGCTTTCATACATATGTGTATCCAAGTCATTCCATAACTTGGTTCCCAACCAGCCGAAATTTACTGCTATGCTTGCTATAAACTTCTACACTTACTGGTACAGTCACAATTCCGTGATAACAGCACTATCAATGAAATGCTGTTCTTAAAACTAAACTGCACACCGCTAAAAACAAAGTCCACACTCATTGGCGGGGTCATAGTTTTGAATCTGATTGTCTTATGATGACGTCATTTATATAGGCTTTTGGGGAATTTTGTTAGCTACATTTTGATACCCCATTTGCTACCAAAGACTGTAAATCGTCCGACATTGACAACGGTTTATGAAAAATGATGCAGTTTAAAAAGTTGCAATTTAAAGACTGCAAAGTGCCTGAACAATGCAGGTAATTCAATTTCATGTGCTTCCATGCAAACAAGCACTGTGCGATCGATATTCCTTGCCGTTCGTTTCGGGCAGTGTCATTGTCACGCAGCAATTTCCACTTGCGTACTCTTTAAATTTGCAACTTTTCTAACTGCATCATTTTTCATATTAAAGCCGTTGTCAATCTTGGACGATTTACAGTCTTTGGTAGCAAACGAAGTATCAAAATGTAGCTAACAACATTCCCGAAAGGTCTATATAAATGATGTCATCATCAGACGATCAGATTCAAACTTATGACCCCTCTAATGAGTGTGGACTTTTTTTCGGTGTTTAGATGAGAATTTTTATTTACTCAGCGAGATTCACCTTTATACTGTACATTGAGACAGTCATTGCTGGTCTGTGTAGCAAAACAAATGTCATGGTTATGGACTCCGTGCACAGACATGAGAGGGCGCTTTTCGACACACCGCGTGCGTGTACTGGTTTGCCGCACATATGAAGCAAAGTACGCATAAAGCCATAGCGTCATCGCGTGAGCGTCATGCGTCGTCAGCAATGCGTTCAAATGTCTCTCCTAGTGGTCTCCCCCAACTCTCCCTTTCTTACCGTTGAGGGGGTACTTGTACACGGAGCCCATGACGGCGAAAAATAGCGAATCGGTTATAGACTTACTAGGCTTATTCATAAACAACATTATAAAGTCATCGTTTTCATTCGTTTGTCTCTAATAGTTTAAGAACGACAGAAGTCGATGGTTGATCAGACAAGACGATATGCTGCAAACTGTGAGTACATTTAGATATTTTGCAAACAAAACGATCAACTGCTTATGAATAATTCATCCATTCAAACAAATTTATAATGTTAAATTACATAAAAGAAGTAAAATCACTATTTATTTAACAATTTCAACTTTCTGTAAGCATTCACTTCGTACATGTCCCAATTTTTCAATAAGCTTTTGCTTCAGCTTTGTGCTTATACAGGGCGTCCCAAAAAAGTTGTTCAAGCCGATATCCTTTAATTTCTCAAAAACTACTTAACATGAGTATTTCATCTTGATGGAGCATATTAGTTATACTCTTGTGTATAATCAGTGAAAATGCCATGGAAATCCGTTCATGCAAACCAGAGATCTAACAGATTATAAACGGCTATGGGTTTTTCACCCATTCCAATGGGATGGGATTTACACAGTTAACTTAATTTACATCAGAGTAAAAACGCCATGACAATCTGATTCAATGATATCACTAACGGTAAATCCCATTGGAATGGGTGAAAAACCCATAGCCTTTTACAATCTGTTAGATCTCTGGTTTGCATGAACGGATTTCCATGGCATTTTCACTGATAATACACCAGAGTATAATTAATGTGCTCCATCAAGATGAAATACTCATGTTAAGTAGTTTTTAAGAAATTAAAGGATATCTGCTTGCACAATTATTTTGGGATTATCTGTATATACTAAAATCACTCGCTTCATAACTTTGACATACATTTTAACAATGTCCTGTCTCAAAACAAAAAATTGTTTTGGTATTTAGAAAAGCGAAATGGAGATTTGGCCACTTTTTCCACAACCGGAAAATGGAACGGAATTAACGAAATTCAGTTTTTTTTTATCAAATTCAGTTTTTTAATCAAATTCAGCTGCCAATCCTAATGCAGTTAATAAAAAAATAGGGAATTTGGTGGGACAGCTGTAACAGGTGTTTTAATTTACTACTAGAAAAAATATTCTGGCTTTTGTACGAGGTTGTTTTTTGACTCGCAAAAATTAAAGGTAGAGTCCATCATTTGCAGCTATCCAAAAAGTAACTGATGAAATTATTGTTGAGAAATTTACTTGGTTTAAAGATAGTAATGGCACTAAACTCCCTGTGAAATTATTCTTTCTGGAATGCTGTCATTTTGAAGAAAACAATGAAAGAAGGTCAATTCCAAAGATGTGTCTGAAGACGCATTTTTGTAAATTTCCGTTTGTAGTTCGTTTTTAATTTGGCGAAGCGGTGAATGTGTGCGCGCAAGCGTTGACACGACGCACACACGCGCGCGGTTGCTATAATTCGTCGGTTCATCGCGCGACATCGCGAAGCTGCAATCAGCTGAATGAGAATGTCTCAGACGCTGCATTCAGGCCCAATTCAAAATATGACTCGGCAACTTTTGAATCGAAACCGAGATCCTAGAATATTGTTTTCTCGGAATATACAGCATTCACTAAGCTAAAACTTCATCAGGTTGTTAAGCAACCTTCTTTAGACTTTGTGCACTTTTGTTGCTTCAAACAAAAAAACAAAATGCACAAATGACAAATGATGTACTCTACCTTTAAATTGTGTCTAATGTTGGGGACACTACCATGTATAATTGTCATATTAGACTTGCTCCCAGTCAAACAGTTCTCAGCTTATTCTGCAAAATTTGCTACTTTTAATTCATGCTTTGGTTGTTGCTCAGCCAGTGTTTGTTTGTCTTTGTTTGCAATTTTTTCCACGCATAATTTGACGTGACTATTTTTCATGTACATGTATCTCTTACGTCGATGGCTGATAACGATTTCAGAGTGAAGTGAGTATAAAGAGATTTTGTTTTCCCCCAGAAGTTCGAAAATTTGAAATTCGAAATAATAAGTTGAGTCATTTGATCCGAGTTGCGCAGAAACCTGGAAAAAAGTTTTAAAAGTCAATGACTTGTGGGCGGTATTTTATAATCTTGCGATCACATTTAAGGAATTTTAATAGATATCATGTTCAAATCACGAAAATCTTTAAGAAAAACAAAAAAAAACAGCATGATAGTTTTTGCAGTTCTTGAAATGTGGGTATGCATCCTGCGTCTAGAAAATAAGGTGTGTAATCTTTTAACTGGAAACTCTGGCGATAACTCGTTGACAATGACTCAACTTCGTGTCGGATGTGATGCACGATCGGTTCCCTGACCCCTCTGTCTTGTTGTGGTGTGTTTGCGTACTGTGATCTCACATCTTGAACACTAAAAAAATTGTAAAGTAATCGACTCTTCAACTCATTTCTGACTTGCCGTTTGACCTCCATTTTCACTAACACACACAAGCCCATATGACTTTCAAAGTGCAAAAAAAACCTAACCCATTAGACCATGTACAGGGTGAGTAAAAAAAACCCCGAAACCCAAATGTCGGGACTATTGTTTTAGTGAAGTTCTGCATGTAGCACTTTCAAAATCTAGGATATGAAAGCCCACTTCATAAGCTTTCTTTTAATACAAGCATCATTCAAATCACTCATGTACTTTTCAAGTTACGGAGTTTTAAACACAACCGCCGTTTAAGGTTCTGTCCACAGATCACAAAAAGTTCAGTGTTCTTTCAGCAAAACGAAAGCAAATCACATAAGGATGTGTGTGAATTGTTTTTGGTTTACCGAAAAAAACCCACACTTTTTTGTGAACTGTGGACAGAACTTAAAACGGTGGTTGTGTTTTAAACTCCGTAACTTACAAAATAAAAAGGGATTTGAATGATTCTTGTACTAAAAGAAAGCTTGTGAATTGGGCTTTCATATCCTAGATTTTGAAAGTGCTACATGCGGAACTTCACTAAAACAATGGTCCCGACATTTGGGTTTCGGGTTTTTTTTACTCACCCTGTACCGCCCAAAAGCACCCTGCCTGTTACTCCTTATACCGCCCCAAACCGCACTACCACGCTATGGTTTTAAGGATTCATCGTGGGGTTAACACATTGTAGTACTTTTCAAACGTTACTTTTCAAAGCCATTTTGTATTTTAATGCACATAATTTAATGAGCATCAAATGCACAACTCTTGGACAAATTCTTGTCATTTCTGGGTGAAACTTAAAGGGAATATACAACAGTTGCACGCATCAAAAACCGTTCTGAATCATTGTGAAATACCTTATTGGACTGTTAGTGAATGACAGTCTAAAGCATCCTGTAAAATCATGGCACCTGGTGTGCTGTCATTTAAAAAGAAGTGGTATTTTTGTAGATTTTCCAAAGCTGGTCGGTCGACCAGCGTTGGACAAAACTGACTTTTTTTAAATACTGCCCCCAATTTCCATTATTTAGTTAGTCTGCATTTTGTTTGCAATTGATTACACACCTCTGAAACAGTACAAGCCAGCTAGACTGGTTCCCCGACCTTACCATTCCTTGACGTCCATATTAACTGCTCCATTTCATCATAAGTTGGGTCAGGTCACCAGACTACATTGTTTTCTTGGTTTCTGCAGCATCTACAAACACAAAACTTCAAACAAGTCAGTGTAACAATATTTGCTGTAAAATACCGTACTAACTCCCCCCCCCCCCCATCCATCCATTTCTGAGAATAACAGCAAAAGCAAATGTTGTATATTACCTTTTAAGTCGTTGGACAATTCTATTTCACTTCACCTCACAGAACTAACAAAGTAGAGGGTGAAATTTCAGGCAGACGCCAGAAATTTCACAACTAAACAAAAAACTTGTCCCATCAATAATCAGATGCGCATCGTCAGCTTTTGTTCCAAAAGCGCATTCTAAAATTGCATGTGACGGCTCCAAATTGATTTTGGTAGTTTGTTTCGTCCGAGCAGTTACATGTAATGTGTCTTACTTCAAATTCACGCAGAGCATGGGACATCCCAATTAACCCTTTGGACAAGTCCATTCTATACTCGGTGTTAATAGGCCATACAGGGTGAGTAAAAAAAAATGAAACCCAAATGTTGGGACCATTGTTTTAGGGAAGTTCTGCATGTAGCATTTTCAAAATCTAGGATATGAAAGCCCAATTCTTAAGCTTTGTTTTAGTACAAGAATCATTCAAATCACTCATGTACTTTTCAAGTTACAGAATTGTAAACACAACCACCGTTTTAAGGTTTTGTCCACGGATCACAAACATGATCAGTGTTCTTTCAACAAAATGAAATGAAATCACATAGGGATGTGTGTGAATTGTTTTTGTTTTGCTGAAAGAATGCACACCTTTTTTGTGATCTGTGGACAGAACCTTAAAACGGTGGTTGTGTTTAAAGTTCCGTAACTTAAAAAGTACATGAGTGATTTGAATGATTGTTGTACTAAAAGAAAGCTGATGAATTGGGCTTTCACATCCTCGATTTTGAGAGTGCTACATGCAGAACTTCAATAAAACAGTAGTTCCGACATTTGGGTTTCGGTTTTTTTACTCACCCTGTATACGAACGATTGAGGGACAGTCACAATGCCATCTTGTGGAAATAAACGGACATGAATCAAAGGTGAATGACGTAAAGTTAACAAATTGCTACAATTCAAAAATTACAATTTTATATTGTTTCGTTTTTTAGCTTGAAGTAAAGTTACAAAAGCTCTTCAGTAAACAAGATTTTTCTAGTGTTCATTTAAAAAATGGCATTGTTAATGTGTTACATTCTCTCAAACATATGGCCGATCGTAGACGTAAACATGGTGTGTCCTTTTCATTGGTGTTACCCTATTTTGAATTGTGCTTGGTGTCGTACAGTAAACCCTCTTGGACCCATTCACAGCTCTCTCACTTGAAGTGGTCTCCCACTCCAGCCGTTATCCTTGTCTCCAGGTGATGTGTGTATGGTTTCTGTATTGAAACATGCATGCGTTTGCTGCAACTTCTGGAAATGAGACTCGAGAAACTCTTGGGAAAACAGAGTTTAGCACCAGCAGTTTCTGAAAACTAATTTCTTTCTGTTTCATTTGGTCACAATGCATGCTGGTTGTTAATTTTTTTTTCACACATACTGTGTGTATTTTGGGTGCACGATAATGCAACTCTATACATGTTTTGCATATTAAATGAATATGCATAGCTGCCAACTGTTACGATTTTTTCGTAATGATTACGAATTGTTTGTTTAATTACGAAAATACGATTTGCCACTAAAACATTACGAATTTCCCATTTTCTCCCTAACAAAAAAAAAATACTTGTAAAGTATCGTTTCTGGCGAAATGATGGGATAAAGGATGGACCGGTGACAAGTCTAATAAGCAATGCGGTCAAGCACCTGATAGACATCATTGCAGTGTGCGCATTGGAGTATTTGAGCACCAGACTAAAAATATTTTTCAATGGTGTGCCATTTGTGTGCATCTCGTGGATGTGTGGTTGTGTGTACTGTATGTGTGAGTACTTTTCAATGACGATCGTGAGCACATTTGGTCGCTTATTGCCGGGATGAGACCTATCAGTGCGACATTTTAATCATGGAATTTAATAACAGTATGGTTGGAATAATTGGTAATAGAGTTTGAGTTTATCACAACGTCCAGAAAAGATAAATCAGCATGCGTTTGCAAGGTATGTTGGCAAGATATTTTTATTGCATACGGTGGCCCTAAATCATTATGTGTAAAAACACGATACGAACTCGAAAACTCAACATCGATAGCATGCATCTCAAAAAAAAAAAATGCGCACATGTTATTATTGTTATTATTTATTTGACTTTAACAACATATACAGACAGTAAAACAAAATGAATTAAAAAAAATATATTATTATCATTTTTTTTTAATTATCTTTTGGCCTACAGTACATTATTATTCACAACAAGAATGGTATGCACATGTAAACCATGTACCTGTACTCGATGTTGGGGAAGCTGGTACATACACTTTTGATAATAGGATTAGGAGCAGTTGAAAATGACCGCGCGGGTTGCTTACTAATTGGGATTTTGAAAAGTTGGCAGCTATGAATATGCAATTCGTTGTGCACTATGCATTGCACTGTAGTAAACTTAAATGAATTACGCACACAGATCCGCGAATCTGATTTGTTGCACTGTCTTTAACAATAATCCAAAATTTCACCGTAAATGCATGCAAGGATGGATAGTTACTGACACCACATATCCTCTACACAAGGATAAACGACTTGTCTGAGTTTGTGTACAAAATGCATGGAACGAATTGTCTACATGCTTGATATGCCGCATACGCGCTTAGAACAATGCATACAACATGTAGAACAATGCGCGCGTCATGATCACCGACAGCGGGCGCTGGCCTACATGAAATCTTGTTGAAACCCGTCAGAAATTTGACTGTAGTGTTGCGCACTGAGTCCCGCATGTGTAAGCGCACGCATGATGTGCACGGGCCGTATCACGCATGTAACCAGGAATTTGGGGGTCGTTTATCCGTGTGTAGAGGATCTGTGCTGACAGTAACTATCTTGAGACATGTATTAAAAGATGTGTCCTGTTGTCTATAAGGTTTTGCCTGCCACACACTTATCAGAAATCAATAGGGGGACTTTTCATGTCCATTAGGCCAGTGTGAATGTGTTGAACTAATTTAGCATGCACCTCACAAAGCATGCTCACATCTTGCACAAACCAATATTTGTCATTGTTAAAAATTTGTTTCACCTCGGCATTATTTGGAAGTACTCAAGTACATTTCTGTTAATCAGTTCGTACCAGGATTTTTTTGCCAAAAATTTAGATTCTTGAAAAAGGCAATATATATCAACCAACTTTTGATACAGCCAAACGCCACAAATACTGATTCGCAAGAGTCATTTCAACAGTATTTGTACGATGTTTCTTGCTGAAACCTTATCTGCACTTGTAAAAACAAATCGCTACTCATGAGTACCTATTTCTTCTCAGCCAGACGAGTACTCGAGTAGATGAAAAACCATGAACAGAATGAGTCACAAACACTCGGAAGTAACTGAGTTCTTAGGTTACTCGCCCGGTTAATCTTGGAGTCCTTTGTTCCCATTTCTGTTTTCTTTGTTCCTTCCCACAATCTCCGTTGATCTTTGAAACTGCACTAAATTTTCTTATTGCTTGCGGTTGCATGGGAGAGCATGGTTCAACAGACAAATCCTTTCAAAATTCACCATCTTTGTTTTCTGTAATTTTCTGTTTCCAATTTCAGACTTATGACAGTCATGGGGAGATTATTAAATGCAAGGAACGACGTCTCTTCATGCTCAACGATCTTCTTGTCTGCACGACGGTCGTGTCAAAGTGAGTTCGTTGTCAGTAATCGTACAAAAGGTCCAACTTTTCGCATAGTTGATTAAAATCTTAAGAACAATTTAGTTATTTTCAAATAAACACAAAGGGAAACTGACTAGGTGCGTTATAATAAGGGAATAAATGTGTGCTTGGGATGTTTTAAACACTCTGTTTAAGACTGGTTGGAGTCTGGATGCTGATAATTACCCGAGTTGAAGGCAAGGGTCATTATCAGCATCCAGACTCCAAACTGGTCTTAAATATTGTGTTTAATACCGGCCAAGCATATATTTATTCCCATTCATAAATACCTTTTCGTTCAAAGGAAATATAAACTTTTCGGTCCAAAAGTCAAAACAAGTCAAAAATTATAAATTTCCGGGTAGTCGTAAACAGTTCCTTTTATGGAGATCGGCGCGTGATGTGGCGCAGAACACAGCTGTGCCGGTGTAGTGTGAAGTTAGGACCATAAAATACTGACTCACTGTTAGTATTGCGCATGCCTACGTGAGGATTGTGAACGTTCAACCAATAAAAGGGTAAAAGGGACCAGACTTCATAGGAGTCCACATTTCATGTGACTATGGAAAAGTGTTTAAGACCAGCCAGCCAGTCTTTATCAACCGTTTAAAACTCGACCAATAGGAATGGGTAGACTGTCTTATGCATTTATGAATAATTTTTAAAAGTTGAACAAAAACATTGACAAAATGGGGAACTGCCAACATAGGGCTGGAAAGCTCAGTTGGTAGAGCACCGGAACGGCAATCTGGAGGTCGCAGGTTCAAACCCCGCTCCAGGCAATTTCTTTGTTCAACTTAAAAAACAAACATTCAGTTTGGTGAGACTTTGAAACACCACTATGAAAGTGGTTATTGAAGAACTTACTGAAGTGCATATCACCCCTTTTTTACAAAATGGTCCCTCCCTTTCAGAACCTTGTCCCCAGGCTTGTCTCCTGGCTTTGACATGCCAAGATGCAAGCACAGGTGGAGCGTTCCATTGAGTGAGGTGGAGGTGATCGAGCCGTCCGGGGAGGGAGGGACAGAAGTGGAGGTGTCTCAAGAACCGGGGAAGCTGACGATCACCACGCAGCAGGCTGAGGAACCAGGTAAGAAGCACTGAAATCTGCTAAGCACAAGATAATTGCTTTGCCAAAAAAAGCTTAGCAGCAAACATAATGTGTGTTTTGCTTAACCAGTTCGAGTCGGAGGACGTGATAACACCGGCTGTTTTTATACACAGGCGTGGCTGATGGGTTAAAACGTCGAGATTCTCGACTCGCTTCCGGGTTATGTCTAAAGACGCTAATCCCTGGTGCCTTTTGTACACACACACAAAGTCCGTGAAGTCTGTGGAGGCATAGTTTTCAGAAATGATCTTTAACCATTTGCTTATCCAATTCATCTTTTGAAAAAAATGATCAATTAGGATGTTTGATACTTCTCTTTTTTTCAATAAATGAAGCTATTTAATAACTTAAATTGTAGACTACATCCTTTGTAATAATCAGTGGTTTTGTTTTCAGACTACACGTACACAGGTTCGGCAAGACAGATGTACCAGGAACGCAACGATCTGATGCATGACATGGCCGTCGTCAGACAAATCGGCGCTCTCCTCACCACACTCAAGGTAAGAAAGAGGGCATATCTACAGGCGAGTGTCGACATGCAAGAAGATTCTTACATTTCCACGTCTAGTTCTCCACTTCTGGCTTTTTTTAATGCAAGTGGTGCATGAAGACTGGTTCATACTTCACACGAAAGTGAATGCTAAGCGAATTTGACATCACAAAACTTTCGCTGCGAAATTCGTCGGAATTGAAATGTTGAAAAGTTGAACAAAGAAATTGACTGGAGCAGGGCTTGAACCTGCGACCTCCGGATTGCCGTTCCAGTGCTCTACCAACTGAGCTATCCAGCCCTATGTTGGCGGTTCCTCATTTTGTCAATATCTTTGTTCATGGGATGCTAGTCCGAAGCCATAAACCTTTATACGCCATGCAGCCAGGGATCACGCCCAAGTCACGATACAGACCTGGGAAATGGCAAACGGGGATCACTCAGAGAGGATACGGCTTTTCAAAAATAATTCACCTGGCGTGATCCCTGACTATATGGCATATACTGGTTTATGGTTTCTGACTAGCGCCCCTTGAACAAAGAAACTGACAAAATGGGCAACCGCCAACATAGGGCTGAATAACTCAGTTGGTAGAGCAACGGAACGGTTACTCAGAGGTCGCTCCAGTCAATTTCTTTCTACAACTTTTCATTTGGAATTGACATTTGCTCAACTTTTGCAAATTTGCAGCGCAAAAACTTGGTATGACGTCTCAGATTCGCTTCTGCGTTCGCGCGGAGTATGAACTGGTCTAGAGTATGGGGTAACTCACAGCAGTTGATAAAAATCGGATGATGACATGTAGATGATTGGTGCTCCCAACGGGCAGCCTAGCATTCTCTTTGTACCTATCGCACTGACGCACTGATTAACTGCATGTCACTTGTGAGTCGGGCAGTGCTGTTGTATAGGATTACCCATATTGTATAGGATTACCCATTCCCCAATGGGATGCATGGACAGGCATCCATGATTAACCGTTCTGAATCAATTGAATAGAATTGTGTGCACTCTGGGACCAGCGTTAATATAATCTTTTTAAAAATAAACAGTAAAATGTAACAACTTAAAAAAAACATTTGATTTGTTCATTTTGTTTTTGTTCGCAGGGTTCGTACAGTACACTGACCAAAGAGGACGTGGAAGATTGGGCCGAGATCATCCAAAAACTCATCCAGAAAAAGGGCCAGGAGATCAAACTAGCTGATGTCAGTAAGATACAGCTATCACTGCCGGCTGTAGCATTGTAAGTCAGGATACTAGACCACGAAGAAGAAAATGCCTTTTACGAAATCTTGGCCTTGATTCTGGTTAGGCTACAGGCTCTAAAATTTGTTCAGAAAAAAGAGTCAGGAAATCAAACAAGCTGATGTCAGTAAGATACAGCTATCACTGCTGGCTGTAGCATTGTAAGTCAGGGTACTAGACCACAAAGAAAAAGCCGTTTACAAAATCTTGGCTTTGATTCCATTTCCAGCTCTAGAATTTAAGCCACTGCGAGTGTAGCGCCCTGGCCTCGTGGTCTGGAGCATTGAATTCATGGTCTGCGGGTAATTCTGCAGGTTGTGGGTTCGAGTCCAGCCTGGGGTTATTGTGCGTGTGCCCTTGGGCAAGGCACTTTGTCACTCATTGCTTCTCCCCACCCAGGAGTAAATGGGTACCTGTGAGGGCAGAGATGGTTATTGTGGTTGATTTTAGCTGCTTTGCTCCAAAATGGCAGCATCGAGCTGTCTGCTCCCCAGGGAGCTGAGATTGTCTTTGGGCACGAATACTGGTGGATGCGTGCGCTTTATAAATACACCTTATACAAGTTATCCCGTAAACACGAGTGGAACACTCGTGGATAATGCAGTGCGTCTGTGTCCCACATACCTCGAGTCCGAGTGGTATGATAACGAATTTATCTTCAAGCAAACTTGACGCACAGTAAAGTTGGAACTAGCACGCTTCATGAGATCCTTTTAGCGGTTTAGCGCATGCAGCTGGAATGTCACTCGCATCATGAAATAGCGCATTACGCAGGGTGCGATATGGACCATGCGATACAGTATAATATCACACTGTTGTTGCCATGGATCGACCAATCAGGATAGAGGATACAAGTTTGATTGAAGATAATATAAGTTATCCCGCGAGCGCGAGTGGAACACGGAATAATGTAGTGCGTCTGTGTCCCACATACCACGAGGCCGAAGGCTGAGTGGTATGTGGGGCTCAGACCCACTACATAATTCCGTGTTCCACGAGCGCGAGCGTGATAACGAATTTATCTTCAAGCAAACTTGACGCAGATTACAGTTGGAACTCGCACGCTTTACACAGACATTCAGCAGTTTAGCGTATGCATCTGTAATGTTGCTCGCATCTTGGAACAGCGCAGTACGCGGAGTGCGGTATGGACCGAGGCCGTGCTACATGGTTATATTTAGCACGGCTTGTTGCCATGGATCGACCAATCAGGATTGAGGATTCAAGTTTACTTGAAGATAATTATTATTATTATTGTTACGTTTAGGGCACATTTTCTCAATACACATGCACCAGTAGGCCTGTTTTCTACTTCAGAAACATCAAATCCTAGCATATGAGGCAATATTTTTTTTCAGCACTAATAGTTGACACTTATTAAGTTGAATTCTTTATTTTCAAAATGAATTCCTTGATGAAGACAAAATAAAAACTAGAAATGTGTTTGTGGACAAACACTGAGCTGTTTCGACCGTTTTATTAATGACTGCCGTAAAGGAGTTTCATCCAGGTCGAATGAACATGTACATGCGTATTCTATACAAAAAGTGTCCATCCTATGTAAAAACAAACAAACATTTTTTATGACGTCATGATGACGGCACACATTTAAAAAAAAATTCTGTAACTATCTACGACCTAACAAACTTTTTGCAAAAAAGAATTTCGAATTAACCACGTTCCATTGGTGAGATATGAGTAAAAAGTCCAAAAATTGAATAATTCATATAAAATCACATGATGACGTCATCGTGACGTCACTGCAATTTTTGTCTATAACACTTCCTGGAATATCTGCATACCGAGATTGAACCCAATCGGACCTCAGGTTCTCTAGATATAGTGACTTAAACTATGCAGATTTAGGATGATGTCAAGTGACACGTGATGACGTCATGATGCCGTCATGATTCGACCTGAATCTTCAGATGGTGGTCTAAGTGTGTGCCAGGTTTGAAGTCGATCGGACCGTATTTTATACATTTTTTGCAAAATTTGAAGAAAATATAAAAATTTGAAAAATTCATAAAAAATCAGATGACGTCATGATGACGTCACTTCAGATCTTGAATGCTGTTATCTATACCTACCTACCCACCAAGTTTCATAACGATCGGACATACCCTTATATGTGAATCAAAAAATCACGTTTTTGATGACGTCATGATGACGTCACACATTTTACGAAATTGTGTGCATCTATCTATGACCTAACAAACCTGTTACAAAAAGAATTTCGATTTTACCACATTCCGTTTATGAGATATGAGTAAAAGGTCCAAAAATTGAATAATTCATATAAAATCACATGATGACGTCATCATGACGTCACTGCAATTTTCGTCTATAACACGTCCCGGAATACTTGCATACCAAGTTTGAACCAAATCGGACTTCCGGTTCTGTAGATATAGGGCCTTAAAGTATGCTCTTTGAGGATGACGTCACGTGACATGTGATGACGTCAGCATGACGAAAAGTTTCGGCATACATCTTCAGATGGTGGTCTAAATGTGTGCCAGGTTTGAAGTCGATCGGAATTGAAAAAAGTCCAAAAGTGCGTTGTAGAACGAAAACACGTGTTATCCTATGGGAAAAAAAGTGGAAGAAAAAAAAAGAGAAAAAAAAAAATAACAAAAACAAGAGCTGTTTCGGTGTGTACACCGAAACAGCTAATTAAGTGAACTAAGCATGTACAAATTGGCTCAGTGTATGCAAAGAAACAAAACCAGCAAATGAAGACATTGATTTGTTTTTTTTAATTCTGCGATTTTTTTTTTGTCTGCAGGGAGAAGCGAGTGAATTTGGTGTTCGATGCGGTCAGCTCTAAAACCAGATTAGACTGGATCACTGCCTTGGAGACAGCCAAGCTGGCCTTGCGTAAGTCGTCAAGTCCAGTTACCATGGTTATTGTTGTTTATTCTAGTGAGGAGAATGTCAGAATCATGGGTTTTGGTTGCAAACTATAATTCCATCGATGGCAAATCCCTTCATGGGTTATTCTGTAAGGTTTTCCCTGGGCGATTCCATGAATTCGGACGTACATGTCAGACACTTTAATGAGCTGCTGTTGAAAAGTGAATGTGATTCATCACTAATTATGTGACATCTAATGAGTAGTAAACAATTACAGACCAAACTAAGGTACCGGTACCACCACCTTAACGACCTTGTACATCATGTGGTCGGACGTATGTTGGATTTTTACGGACTTGCCCCTGCTTCATCTGACATCTATGATTTTATGCGTTCATGTTCATGCATGTGTGAGGTGATTGTGCCATGTTATTTCTGGAAGGAGTAGTGTTTTCAGTACAGACATCAGGTTTTGACCCTAGTGACCCAATTTTCCAGGACTGCATAAATTGGTAGGAGACCCATTAAGGGCCTGAGGGACGAGGTGATTGATAGCCATGCAAGGCTGCTGCTGACGTTTGTTACTAACTAACCAACCAACCAATCAATTTTCCAGGACTGCATAAATTTGTAGGCGGTCAGTAGAGACCCATGAAGGGCCTGAGGGACGAGGTGATTGATAGCCATGCAAGGCTGCTGCTTACGTTTGTTACTAACTAACCAACCAACCAACCAATTTTCCAGGACTGCATAAATTGGTAGGTGGTCAGTGGAGACCCATTAAGGGCCTGAGGGACGAGGTGATTGATAGCCATGCAAGGCTGTTGCTGATGTTTGTTACTAACTAACCAACCAACCAACCAATTTTCCAGGACTGCATAAATTGGTAGGTGGTCAGTGGAGACCCATTAAGGGCCTGAGGGACGAGGTGATTGATAGCCATGCAAGGCTGTTGCTGACGTTTGTTACTAACTAACTAACCAACCAACCAATTTTCCAGGACTGCATAAATTGGTAGGCGGTCAGTGGAGACCCATTAAGGGCCTGAGGGACGAGGTGATTGATAGCCATGCAAGGCTGTTGCTGACGTTTGTTACTAACTAACTAACCAACCAACCAATTTTCCAGGACTGCATAAATTGGTAGGCGGTCAGTGGAGACCCATTAAGGGCCTGAGGGACGAGGAGATTGATAGCCATGCAAGGCTGTTGCTGACGTATGTTACAAACCAACGAACCAACTAATGGAGAGTCACGACCATTTGTTGATCTGTTGTCGACAGCTAAAAATTGCTTTAAGTTATTCTAAATGATTCTTGAATAGCAAATTACAAAGTACCAAGGTAACAGGGACAGGAAAAATGTGACACTTTGGCTTCTAAATTTATTGAAATATGCGTTTGATTTTGCCAGAGCCTCACAACAACCCCGGTTGGCACACGTCGGAGGACAGCGACAACGCTCACGCCGAGATGAACTACGGCGTCCCGCTTCTCATGAAACCCTTGCCCGTATTCACGACCAGACAATCAGCAAAGGTAACCAACAAACAGAAAGGCCCACTGTTTTTGAATAATTAACCTTTTGTTTTTTTTAATTGTTAAACCAAAGAAGTGACGATGAATGGTTTTTTTTAACCTTAAAGGTGAATACTGAGGTCTCCACAAGGATTTCACAAAATAAATATATGAATTTTACTAAAAAAGTAGAAATTTCCAAGGTATACTTATCAGTTGCAACTTAAAGTATTTTATGCGAGGGATATTTTTGGCCTCGCAGCATGTAGGACACAGAAGCACTACATTATTTCGTGTTCCACTCGCGCTCACAGGATAACTAATAGAGTCTATTTTACTCTTAGATCCAGTGCGCAGTCTTGTGCCCCTTGGAACCGGCCTACTCCCGCAGCACGCGGAAAAGGACCCTTGAGAGCGAAGCCACCAGGAATTGTCTCTGGGTGGTCAGCTCCGACAACAAGAAATCCTACATCAGCATCGTAGGCTTCCAGCCCCCGGCCCCCAAGATCCTGGAGACGTTTGAGCTGGGCGAGCTGAGGATTCTGTGCGCGGAGTCCGTGCCGGGGGTCACCCGGAACGCTGGCCTGGCCGGCACGCAGGGGAAGAGTTTCAGGGAGAGCGTGCGAAGGAGTGAGTTCTGCCTGATGAAGCCGACGGTGTGGCTGGGCACAGAGAGCGGGAGGTGGGTTATTCAGGTTGAATTACTCAAGAATATGGACTATTTTCTGAGGCTGATGGCCGAGGGAAATATAACCCTTCTCTGGTCACTCACAGGCCCCAGGGGTAATAGACGTGCACTAGTAGTAAAGTAAAGTCTGTCCCGAGCCAATGTGGCTCATCAGGCCGGCGTTTATCTCCGGTTTCAGTAGCATGAAACGACTGAGAATATTTCTACTCCCCCTGGATGGGATGCTAGTCCATCGCAGGTTACTCCCCAGCTAATGCCGGTACCCATTTATACTCCTGGGTGGAGAGGGGCAAGTGGGGGTGAAGTGCCTTGCCCAAGGACACAATATATGACCAGCGGCTGGATTCGAACCCCGGACCGTGCACTAGTGACCAAATTATGCCAGTCCACATGTGTTTTATAACTCACCTCTGTCCAAATTATAAAATGGAGAAGGCATTTTCAGGGTTTTATAATTGAACTGTTTTAATTCAACAACTAACTCATAAACAATTCAACAATAAGCAGTTTCATAATTAAAGGAATGCTTTGAGTTGCTGTTCACATCATGTGAGTGTACGCTTAGTGGTTTTGAATATTTACCACACATCCATGAAAGTTGTAGTTGAAAGTTTTTGGGTTGCTATTGACATCATGGTGAGAAAGAAAGTTCACAGGTCTCGGAGGAGATGTTGCAAATTCATTGAGAATGTTCTCTTGTGACATAAGGAGGGCGCTGTCACCTGTCAAAAATAAGCTGTCAACAATTTTGAGTATAATACGCATGTGTCTAGTTCACGCTGACTCAAATTTCAAGAACCAACCTAAATTAGTAAATCACACGTGACCGTGTTTCAGCCATCCAGGATAAAAAACCAGCAAGAGGTGTTTTATAAAAAAAAAGGGGTGCTGTGGTCCAATGGTTAGGGTGTTCGACTCGTCTGCCGTGGTACATGGGTTCGAATTCTGACCATGGGAACATGGTGCTTGTGCTCTTGAGCAAGGTACTTTACCATTATTGCTTCGTCCTTCGGATGGGACGTGAAGCCGTAGGTCCCGTGTGTTGTGTAATGCACGTTAAAGAACCCAGTAACACTTATCACTAAGAGAAGGGGTTTGCCCCAGTGTTTCTGGCAGTGGCTGCAATATGCGCCGCAGCACCTTGTACACCCTTATAAGGTGCTACATAATGGGTCTCATATCTCTCATAAACTTTATTTACCTTTCTTTAAAAATAGACATATCTCCAGCGCCTTGAGTACCTAATAGTTGGTAGATACATGCGCTATTTAAAACTCCGATATTATTAGTATTATTAAGAGTTGTATGACTGACTCTTGAACGGTGTTTGAATCTAAGTGTCCCCCTGTAAATTGGACTCCACCATAAGGCGCTGTTCAAAACCTGTTATAGTTTGTCGTTTGAATAATTCTTATTTTTTTGACTGCGTCTTTCTTTCTTTGCCAGGATTTGCATCTACGAGGCCAGCCAGACAGACAAGAACCAGTGTCTGGTTAGCTTCAAGGTTCCCCGCTCTGTCACGTCCATGAAATACCTGAACAATCGCATGTTTCTAGCCCAGAAGGACGGCACGGTTCTCATATACCACAGGACAGAAGGTATGTAGCTAGACCCTAGCTGGGCCGATTTCACGAAACTCTAAGATGCGTTTTAGGAAGAATTACTCATCTTAACTCGCAACTCGTTCTAGGATCTGTTTCACCAAACGTAAGACGCAACAAATTTATTGTGCAGAGCTCTGCGCAATAAATTTAAGATCGATTTCAGGAAACCTGGCACAGCTGCTCAAAAAAATATTTTGAAAAGAAAGCACTTACACTTGCCAAGCATAGAAAGGAACTTTAGTTCTTGTAAATATAAACCTGATGCAGAGTTTTAAAGGGCGGTTGTTTTGTTCCACTGGGTCATGCATGAATAGACCTTTTAATTTGTAGCTACGGTAAGATGGCTGCCTTGCAAAAAGTCTGTTTGATTACGAGCATGAACATTTCTGGTAAAGTCCTGGACATTTTTTGGATAAATTGATATGGAATGAAAAAGAAACATATCGTAGACTGTTAATTCTCTTCTAATTTTCCTTCCCCCTCCTTCCTGGCCCGCCCCAGAGGGTGAATGGAAGGTGAAGGAGCCTAGAATATCAGAGCTTGGTTCGAATCCCGTCACGGCACTCCTAGCCGTCAAGCAGCACATGTGGTGCGGCTGTGGCAACCATATCCACATCATTGACACGGAGAGCGAATTCTCACAGGTAAATTTGAAGAAATTACATGTGATGGTCAATATGAAACTATCATCCCTGATTATGGTCATTATTATATCGTGTGCTTGGATACTGTTATTTCATTGGTCTAGAACGGCCACGTGTCTGGTCTATAAAAATGCATGTTGCACACTTATATCCATTTTTACGTGGAGATAGTGATATTTCACTGCGTTCATTGCGTGTGGAACCTGCTGGCTTGCTAGCTTCGCGCAATGAGAACTGCAAGGTCAACTGCTCAGTCTCATGTCTGGCAGAACATCAAAACCTTCAATGATGGCTGATGTTGTAGATGATGCTTTGGTCCCCTTTAAGTTCTCAACAATATCCTTCAGGGTGGAGCTTGAGGTGACCTCAGTAAGGCCATAAGGCTTGAGAATGCTGCACCCACTTACGATCTCGACCGACACGAACATTTTTTTTGGAAATTTGGATAGTCAAAACAAAAATCAGAGAAAACGTCAGACCATACAGCGACATCAACATCGTGCACGAGCTGCCAGGCTGGTCATTAGTCTGCTCCCTTACATATTGTGCTAATTAATAAGCGTTTACTGGTTCCAGATACACTCAGTCTGGCTTCCAGACACACAATGACAAAATTGCAACACCCTCTACAAATGGTGCCCAACTAAATTTAGTGCACAATATATAGGAGCTCAGAGAGGCCACATATACTCCATCATAACCCCATCTAAAAATCTGTTAAAATTGTGCAGCACCAATCAAACCAGTGAGTGTGGCGGTTTTGAGACATCATCTTACATTGAAAAAAAAAACTGTTTAATTTTGCCGAAGTGCATGGCTATGGCGATGGGCACGCAGACCAGAAACCGGAGACTTTTCTTCTTGGCGTAATGGCAAACATGAATTTTTAAGTATTATATTTTGCTTTCCTGTGTCTCCAGACTGACTTTGAGGTTCACCAGGATACCTCCCAAGGTGTTCAGAGCATGGTGGTGGCCGGCGTCGGTGTCTGGGTGGCCTTCCAAACGTCGGACATCATCCGTCTGTTCCACACGGAGACTTTACAAGTCCTGCAAGACATCAGCCTTGCCAGTCCTATCAGCAGGATGGTAGCAGGTGGGTGACAGGGGAGGGGAGGGGCTAAGATAGGTAGGGGGTAGGTGGGAACACTGGCTGTTGCATGAAGAGATCTTACTCCTACAGGAGTCAGCCTTGCAAGTCTGCTTCCCCAAAACTAAAAGAACAACAGCTAATCCAAATGGAACATTTTTGCGACGGTTGATGGAAATTCCTCAAAACAGTACATGGCATTACAATGTGAAATAGTGGGGAGTGTGGCCTAGTGGTTTTAGTTTGTGACTCATGATCAGAGGGTCAAGGGTTCGAATCCAGCTGCTGGCCATACGTAGTGTCCTTGGGCAAGCCACTTCATCCCACTTGCCTCTCTCCACCCAGGAGTATAAATGGGTGCCGGCATTAGCTGGGGAGTAACCTGCGATGGATCGGCATCCCATCCAGGGGGAATAGAAATATTCTCAGTCGTTTCATGCCACTGAAACCGGAGATAAATACTGGCCTGATGGGCCACATTGGCTCGTGACAGACTTTACTTACATTTTGTTTTAAAATTTGCAATTTCCTTTTCATAAGATGGAATTTGTGTCGGGGTGATGTAATTTACAAATATTGAGAAGCTCAGAGTGGAATGGGAGGAATGTTATCGCAAGGTAAAATCTGGACTTTCGCCTCGTGAAATGGAAAAGTCCAGATTTTACCCAGCGATAATATTCCTCCCATTTCACAAATTAAAGCCACTCAATATATGTTTTATGTAACTGACATATAGATCCTTGTCATTTGATTCACAGTTAAAATGAACTTCTGTTTCAATACAAAATTGGTAGGAAATGTAATTCTCTCTTCCAAACCACCCCTTCATGAAATGTTTGAACCCAACTCTGTAGCTACTGGCTCTTGGGAGCAATACACGCAACGCTCAACGTGCACACCAGCATGCATTTGCACACAAATACCGCACCATGGAACAAGGACGATCCTAACTGTTGAATAGTAAATCCCATTCCCATGGGCGAATGGGACTTTTTGAGCCCCGGCGTGAATGGGAGCAATAATGAATGTCACGAGATGTGAGTTCCACCAATCAAATGACAAGGATCTGTATGTCAGTTATATAAATTCAGTTATTGGGTTTTACTCTTTAACCAACGAAATATCCATGTTGTTTTCTTCTTGGAGATTGCATGGAAGTAGTTGCCTAAAATTACCCTGTGTGACACCGCCCTTAGGATACATAAATAATTGTACCAGTTATTGATTGTCCTTTTCTTGATCTGCTTTACGTCAAGGTCTGAATCCCAAGTCCCAAGCCATCTTCCAGAACGTCCACTCGGTCCAAGTCAGCAATCTCCTGGCCTGCCATGGCTCGTTGTGGGTGGGCAGTGACCTGGGCATCTTAGTCAACTTCCCCCTGCCGAGGCTGGAGGGTGTCCCCTTGGTCAATGGGCCGGCCATGGTGGCCTATCACACCCACGGGGGGCCGGTCAAATTCATGCTGGGACTGGAGATCAACCGACAGAGCGATCGCATCCATTACTCATCCAAGGAGGACAGCAATGACAGTAAGTTTCCTCAACATTTTAGACAAATTCCAGAGTTGTTGCGTAGTTTGAACTGTGCCATTGAAAATGCAAAATGAATGACAATGTGGACTGAATCAAGCCAGTTGTGATTAAAATGATCACAAGTCATCACAACTTCATCACATGTCATCATAAGTCAATCACAAGTAATCACAAGTAACAATTCTTCATAAGTCAACACCAGTCATAACAATTATCACGAGTAGTCACAAGTAATCATAAATTAATCAAAAGTTAATCCCAAGTTAATCCCAAGTCCATCACAAGTCCATCACTAGTCAAACACAAGTCCATCATAACTCAAACACAAGTCAATCACAAGTCCATCACAAGTCATCATAAGTCAGTCACAAGTAGTCACAAGTAATCATAACGTAATGAAAAGTCCATCGCAAGTCTACCACAAGTCCATCTCAAGTCCATCTCAAGTCCATCGCAAGTCCATCGCAAGTCAATCGCAAATAATCGCAAGTTCATCACAAGTCAATCACAAGTCAATCACAATTCCTTTGCAAGTCCATCACAAGTCCATCGCAAGTCAATCGCAAATAATCGCAAGTTCATCACAAGTCCATCACAAGTCCATCACAAGTCCATCTTAACTCAATCACAAGTCAAGCACAAATAATCACAAGTTCATTACAGTCATTCATAAGCAAGTCACAAGTCATAGCAAGTCTATCACAAATGAGTCGCTAGTTAATCACAAGTCAACAACATGACCGGTCTCAAGTCGAGTTTCAAGCTGTTCAAGTATTTCTTGTGATGGACTTGTGATTTCACTTGTGCTAGGCAAATATTTAGCGTACTGAATATTGCTATTTGCTTGTCGTTTTGGCCGAGCAGTAAGTAATATGTGCGGCGTTCTGGCAAAATGAGACAGAACTGGGCAGAGGTCGAAATGAGGGTTTGCAGGTATTAGGAAAGAGAACAAAATTCTCCTTACAATGCATGCTGAAAAATTCTCCTTACAATGCATGCTGAAAAATTCTCCTTACAATGCATGCTGAAAAATTCTCCTTACAATGCATGCTGTTTGTTGCATTTCGATCGGACATTCCGTTGACAAGTTATGGCTATTTAAAGTTCGTGTCAAAAAAAGTAAAATACTGAGAAAAAGGCCTTGAAAGTTCTAGTTTTGTATTCGTGAAAATGAAACATGCCAATATATTTTCCCTTAAAAACACTGTTATTCCACAAGTTTTATACTGTTTCTTTAAAACATGTGTTGTAGACACATTACAAAAATCAATAAATCTGAAAATCGGGGAAAAAAATAGCCCTTATTTGTTTTATTTCCTTCATTTTTCTCCACTACGGCCTGTGCCCAGTTCCGTCTCATTTTGACAAACGCCTCACATATTCCGTTCTTAGAAAGCTCAGAAGGTGACCTGTACAGGCTCTGATGTACACCAGCCACCGTGGGTTCAACCCTGTGTACTGTTTTCCCGGGGGGTGAAGATGTGGCTTAATTTTGGCGCCAATTAGCGTCGCCCTCCGCCAAGAAGTGACCCAGTCACCTTGGAGGGTTGTGTGCATCTCTGGATTTAGATTACTCAGGGCCGCAAAACTGACCCGCAGTTACGATTTGTTAATTCTGTGTGGGGTTCGGGATGTTAGTCCTCAGAGGAAAAGAATGAATAACCTGACGAGTGAATGGAACCAGAGTCTTTTCCCAAGTGAGACATGAGACTTTGTCGTTATGCCTTGCATAATCACAGTCATGTAATCGTGTGAGTTTGTGGAGTTGTAGGTTTTGTCGGTCACAAGTAAATCACTAGTCAGGTCACAGATAACTGGGATGAATATAAAAGCAAGTATTTGATTCATGAAAAGAGGACTACTTCAGCCCTATACAGGGTGAGTAATAAAAACCGAAACCCAAATGTCGGGACTATTGTTTTAGTGAGGTTCTGCATGCAGCACTTTCAAAATCTAAGATATGAAAGCCCAATTCATAAGCTTTCTTTTAGAACAAGAATCATTGAAATTACTCATGTACTTTTTAAGTTACGAAATTTTAAACACAACTACCATTTTAAAATTCTGTAACTTGCAAAGTACATGAGTGGTTTGAATGATTCTTGCACTAAAAGAAAGCTTATGATTTGGGCTTTCATATCCTAGATTTTGAAAGGGCTACATGCAGAACTTCACGAAAACAATAGTCCCAACATTTCGGTGTTTTTTTTTACTCACCCTGTACAGTGTGAATAACAAACAAATTTGATACATTTGGAGAAAAAATATTAAAAATTCTAGCTCCTATTTTGTTTAATAAAAACTTATATACGCTTAAAGAATGATTATTTCTCAACACCTACATCAAGAGATATAGACAGTTAATTGAAAGGAAAATATGTCAATGTGGTCCAATTTGCAGCAAAGTGGATGAAAGGAGATTAACATGCAATCTCTCTGTCCCCAAACTCACCTATTGTTAATCAATATTATTCCATCTTATGATTACCTATTGTTCTTTGCCAATCAATATTTAGTTGGAATCCATGATTCATTGATTATGTACATGTAACTCGTTTACATAATCATCGGAGCATACGTTGAGGTTGTTCCAACTCGATATTGGTTGGCAAAGAACAATTGCCCAAAAGTGTCCAATTCGCAAATAAAACACCACTCAGCGATGCTTAACTCGATGGCGCACTCAGCAACATATTCCTCGTTTTAAAAAAGCAGTCTCTCATTTCATCCAGCAGCTGATACTGTATTTTGACGAGTGTTTAATCTCTCCTTGATCTTTGCAGCTTCCACACCAACGCCGACCCAAACGCCTCACTCCACCCCGATGGAGGAGGTCCCCGCCCGTGCCACGCCCCCTCGGACCAAAGCCAGCGCCCACACCGCTAACCTTGTCACCTCTGCAATGTCCCCGATGACCGAGTACTTCTCCTTGGCCTTCCACGAAGCGGACGACAACGATGACGACAAACCCAGCACGACAGACAGCGGCGCCTGCAGCAGCAATCTCTCGGAGGAGAGCGGCCGAGGCGACATCGTGCCTAAGGTCAAAGGTCACACGGACCAGGTGTCGGCGAGCATCACCAGCACCACCAGCCTGGTGCTGTGCGGCGGAGAGGGCCATAACTACCTGATGCAGGAGGGGTCGGAGTTCAAAGGTCGGGAGGCGGAGCTTCTGGTCTGGCAAGTTTCCATGTAGCCAATCAAGTGTTAATATGCAGATGAGGTCAAGGGGCACAGTTCACATGTGAACGTTTCTCAGTTCAATGTCAAAATTCTTGATTGGCCACTTATACTTTGGAATTTGATTCTTTGTGCACACAAGATCAGATCAGAGTCAAAAGTTTTTAATTGTAGTTTAAGGAAAAATCACGTCTGACACAACTAAAATATACGTTTTTTGCTGATGTAAAAAAAACTGAGAAAATGGTTGCAATCTGATAATAATTATCAACAATTTGATGACTTTTTTTAAAATTCAGCTTACTTATTTATTGCAAACAAAATTTTTGCAACCTTTTAAGGAAGCCTGCCCTTTACATACACTTCACTGTCTTGCAATGATTTTAATTCCTTAGTACGCAGATAAAAAAAGAAAGAATATGTAATCAACAAGGTAACATCATTTCCTAAGTTGTTATCCAATTTGGGATATTTTTATCTCGCACTTTTTTGTTTTTGTTTTGGGAGCCTGTTACATAGTCTTATACAGCCAGTGGCGTTTTTATGAGGAAAATGGCAAAAAAATCAACGAGGTTGGAAAATTGAGCAGTGCAGTCTTTTTGGGTTTTCTACATGTAGTGTGGGCTACGACCTTTTTTAAGAAAAGAAAACATGTGTTTCACTGCCTCTGACTTTTTTTTAAGAAAAATAACTGCTTTTGGTTTTAACCTTTTTTTTAAGAATGTCTGAATTTTTAAAAACCATGACAACTAAAGGATGAATATGTTGCAAAGAGGCATTTAGATTGTTTTTGTACATAGTGTGGGGCCATTTTACGTACATGCGTGTAAGATAAAACTCAACTGATCTCACCGTTTTCAGTGCTCTACCAACTGAGCTGTCCAGCCCTATGTTTGAAATCTCCTTTTTCGTCGGGGCTTGGCAAGTTGTAAATCAGACAAAATTCAGCTGAGAAAAAGTTGCACTGTCATCATTTTTTGTTTTTTTTAACTATTTAAAAAATAACGTGCAAAAAGTTTTTCCTCAGAAATAATTGAAGGCAACAAGATACAATGTACTTGCAAATATACAGGTGGTTTTTTTTGTAAGAGGAATATTTGACATGTGATTTTGAATCTTTTTTTTTTAATTCAGAAACTCGTTTTCACATGTGCCAAAGACTTGCGTTGCAACTTTTGCTATGTGCATGTGCAACTGTATATCGAGCGGGGCCTAGGTTATTTTAGGCCTAATATCAGAGCACTGCAAAGCATTAAATTCCTGTTTATAGCTTGCACATTATCAATCCCACCACGCTTTTTAGATTATATTTTTGTAATGAAACGAGATATAGTTGTACATGTCTCACTACATAACTTTAATTTGATGCCAAGTCCGAAAATTTGGCGCAGCTTTTAAGTTAAAGATGGTGCGTATCAAACTTAGATACAAATGCCTTCCGTGTAGAAATAGTTTCGTTTGGTACTTTCTTTGTTTGATAGAAAAAGGCAAATGGTGCTGTAGAATGTATGCTGGTGATGATGGTCTGTGCATCAGTCTGTCCATCTGTGTATTTGTTTGGAAGATATTACATGTATAAGGCAGGGTCCTGACACTTGCCTGAAGCCAGAAATAACACATGAGTCTATGGGAACTGGCTGCAACTACTAGCCAGTGGCTTTCATAGATGCGCATGTTATTCCCTGGCATAGCCAAGTGATTCAGATACTGCCTAACTTCTTCGGAGATGATTTCTTTAATAATTGAAGGTTTATCCGTAAAAATACAGGAATTGGGTCAAAACGTTGACGTTCAAAGGCTTTACCAAAATCACTTTTGTGAGAAATTGGAAATACGGTTTCTGAATCAATTTATGTGTACATGTTGCAAGGGACTTTTTTTAACAATCTCAAAGTGAGAAATGTTGTGTTACCAAACGAAAACTCAGTAAACTAAATGCTTGGGATCAATAGGTCAGAGGTCAAAATCGTTATTTTAAAAATAGGTTACTATATACTTCCTTTTGAAAAGGCTGAGTTTTTTATAGATACTTTCTTTTTATAACAGCAAAATCTTCCTTTGCATCCTTATGGATGGAACCTCTGTGCAGTGAAAAAAAATAGTTTTGGATGAAATTCTTAATCTTTGAAATCTGAATTTTGTCGTTTTGAAAAATGACCAGAGCTATTTTGAAGAAATTAGGACACTGAACGTGGTGCAGATTTTTGTGTATTTTTTTTTTTAACACGGCAAAATCTTCCTTCGCATCCTGACAGAATGTACCTTTGCGCAGTGAAAAAAACCATTTTGGTTGAATTTCTTTATAGATAATGAATTGAGCCAATTTGACAAATTGACCAGTGCTAGTTGTTAAAGAAATTAGGACACTGAAACATGTTGCAGATTTGTTTGTAGGCTTCGCCCGATTTCAAAATATGACAGATTATTCAGCAGTCTTTTGAAATATCTCAGCCAATATATATACCGATACATGTATTAAACCAGGTTTTCCAAATTGTATAGGAGTTGAATCAAATTAAATAGCGTTTGTTTTACCATCTATAGTTGCTGCGAACGGTATTAAACTAATTTGATAGAAAGCAGTACATGTTTTCACCACAAGATTTGCCATAGTTGGAACGGACTCAACTATATGTTGTACCGTAACACTGGATTTGTGTTAGACAGTTGCTGTTACATTTAGTTTCAATTTTTTGCACTTATTGAGGTCAATTTTTGCACAAAGCACTGTTGATATATCGATATTACTCGATTATTCAATATTATTTTGATATCGATATCACCGATAGCAATTTTTTAATCATATCGAAATATCGAAATTTTCAATTTTGAGGAATCATATCGAAAATATCGAAAATGCGTCAGATTATCGCCAAAATAAATCTCCCATTTATGCTTTTACTTTGTGGTTATCGTTTGCTGTAAAGTGAAATACAATTCGTTGGCAACTTGTGCTTGGACTCGAAATAAAAACATCGGGAAATGCCAAGCGGCATCGCTTTGTGCTCTGCGTTCGCTAGAATTTGCATTCTCCCCAATGTAAAACTATAAAAAAAAAATGTAAAAAAAACGCCCGTTCTGGATAAACTCTCAGTGCTGAGATTTGTTTTAAAAAGTTTTAGCAATATGCTCCAGAGATGGGAAATTGGGACTTCACTTTATTTTTTTTTATCAAAGTGTCATCTTTATTGTCCTTAACTTTTACATGGGATAATCGATTCATCGAATATTCTCGATATTGGATTTCCGAGATATTGATTATTGACAATTCTGATATAGACGGTGCTTATTTTGCACCTGTGATTTACATATACAAACGGATACCCAATCCATGGGGGGTGTAACAATTTTACAGATGGGTGCTTATAAATATTCATGTTTGTGACTTGTGTGGTGTCTTTGAGTTTTGCTTATTTTTGCTTGCAACTGAAATACATGCTTCTTGTACAACGAACTGATACGTATGTTTTAAAAGGATTTATTTGTATTTTTAAAAAATGTTTACAAAATGATTATTAAAGTAATGTGTAATATGTTTTTAACATACCAGTAGTAACCCAGATAATGACATTATAGCTCAAATTGGCATGCTTGTTTTACTTTTGCAGCGTAAATTAAAAAGTTAACGATTAAAGACGATTATTTTTAACGAATTCAGAAGTTTTAAAACACCTCAAGCATACATGTACATACAATAATGCTCGTTTGTAAGAGACGTGTAAGAAAGCATTTTTTATTTCATTTGAACAAAAATGGCCATTTCCAACTCAGAATGAAAGTGAATAACATTTTAGAATCGATTTAGAATAAGCATGCCAAAAATGCAATTGTGAAAACATTGTTTGAGAAGGTCAAAAAATTAGTATGTAGAATTTAAATCACTGGAATATGTACAACGTTATAACTTCGACTGACCACTCTTATGAATTATGTTTCAACAATTTACAACGAAATTTTAAATAATTTAAAATACAGATCTGAATGTGCAACTTTGTAATTACGATGAGGATTATATATTTTTGTTGGCAAAGTGATTATGAATGACTCTATACACACAAGCGCATGTAAAATGGTTTGACGACTTTTTTTATTAAATGGTTACTTTTGTAGATTGTTGATAGGTTAAATCAGATGTGGTGTACTTGTATGGAATTACTGACTGTACAATGCCCATCCATTGGTTGCGCAATGATGCATAATTCACAGTTAACTTGCGAACTGCGCGTTTGTAATGCGTTGATTGTCCAGTGCAATGGCCGTCACAGGTCCCAGACCTTTGAACTGACGCGCATTTAGGCTGCACGCTGTCAAAGTCAATTTCTGGCCGACGTTCGCAAGACTGAGCGAGCTCACCATTGCAGATTAGCCGACAAGCGAAAGTGCAATCTGAATTGCGGGGTGGGCATCCACCCTCACGCAATTACGACCCACGATCGCTTGTACGTTACAGCTTGCACTTTTGAGAGTTCTGTGAAATTTGCATCCTCATTGTCGGTAAAAGTTCAGGATTTGTGCTTCAGATCAGAAATCTTCATTCAAAGAACGAGATTTCAGTTTTGATGATTTAAAGGTAGAGTAGATCATTTGTCATTTGTCATTTGTGAAGTGTTTTTTTTAGAAGCATCAAAAGTGCTCAAACTCTAAATAAGGGTGCTTTAACAACCTGAGTGAATGTGAATGTGTGTACATTCCGAGAAAACAATAGTCTAAGATATCGGTTTCAATTCAAAAGTTGCCGAGTCATGTTTTGAATTGCGCCTGAAATCAGCGCCTGGGACACGTTCTCATTCAGCCGATTGCAGCTACATGATGTCACGCACTGAACTGACGAATAATAGCAACTGCGCCGCGTATGCATCGTGTCAACGCTTGTGTGCACCCATTCACCGAATTAAAAGCCACTTTACTAACGGAAATTTCCAAAAATGTGCCATTTGATACATCTTTGGAAGTTTTCTTCAAATGACAGCATGCTAGAAAGAATAATTTCACAGAGACTTTAGTATCATTTAATAATATCTTTAAACCAAGTAAGTGTTTCAACAATCATTTCATCAGTTAGTTTTTGGATAGCTGCAAATGATGTACTCTACCTTTGAAGGGTAGGAAAGGGGTAGATTTTGTTGTTTTGTGAAGGACGTGTTAAGTTGAGCCCTGTCAGTACTTCAGGAAAAGACCTAATCCAAACAACTGCATTGATGAACTTATTTTAAGCATTTTGTTTGCACAGTTTTCATGCAGCGAGTACCACACCCTTCAAAGCATGTAGCATTGCTTGGAAGAAGTTGTAGAATGTTTGTACAAAATTAATTCCTTAAAAGATTCGACAAGTTTTTGTACATAATTAATCAGCGTCGATCGTTAGTTGATCGTTGTATTCCAATTCAGAAAACAAACATTTATTGTAATCAGACAGCGAGGCAGTGGCTATAATAAGGGATTGGCTGTGGCTAAGTGTGGTCCATGTGGGCATGTCAAGGGCACAATACATTAGCCCAAGCCACAAGGAAAATCTGACATGGCTTTTGATGATACCAACTGCATGTAGGCCTACCTCTTGTTTTGGTGCTCGACCCGAGGACCCCAATGTAATGTTTAAACCAAAGTGAAGGGGAGACAATGCACGAATATGTAGCTCAATATTGTAGGATTTCAGCAGAATTCAAATGAATATGCTTATTCTGTAACCTACTCGCCTGTATAAAACCTATCAACTGTATAATTCTTTTAGTACCCTATTTTAAGTGGCAATCTTTCTGTATAAAATCATGTACTGAATATTAAGAATAAAAATCTCATGAAAAAATGGTTTGAATTCATGAGTCCTTGCATTTTTATTCGTAGTTGGACAAAAGTTATCGTGTTAATGGTCTGATCAAACAAGCAAGGCTATTAACCCTTCACTGTTTTTAATTTTGAAAAACTTTTTTTTTCAGTTTCAAAGTGCAAGGCTACCCCTTATCAATTTGAATTTGTGATAAAACTGAATTTTTTTTAAAATTTAATCAAAACGCAATTGAATTTTTGATAGAATTTACTTTTTGTCCGATTTTGATAAAAATGCAAGCAAAAGATAATTACTGCCGCATTCGGATACAAATTCGAGGCTAACCCCTTACAATTTTGAATATTTGAGCCTTGTATTTTTATCAGTTTGATTGAATTTCAGCAAAAATTCACAACAGTAAGGGGTTAGCCTTGCATTTTTATCAAAATTCAGCAAAAATTAGGTTGCATCACACATTGTAAATTCAAACCGGAAAGGGGTTAGCCTTCCATTTTCATCAAAACACGACGAAAATCATTTTGTATCAAACCTTCAAAACAGTAAGGGGTTAGCCTTGCATTTTCATCAAAAAAGGACAATAATCGTCTCATTTTCAAGATGTTGTCATCCTAATTATCTCAGGATGTCGTCATCCTACTACTTTCAGGATGTCGTCCCGTTTTGTCTGAAGATATGGTCATCCAACTGTACTTGCAGGATATCGTCATCCTTTGATAAATTATCTGAAGACGTCGTCATCCCTTGATAAATTATCCCATGATGACATCATCTTGTCTGTAATATGTCGTCATCATAGGATAAATTAAGTCAAGATCCAAATAAGTCAGATGGCACTTCCAGAGCTCCGTAGTTCATACTTCCTAGTTGCACGTATGCCTGTCTAGCTTTGATTTCAAGCTCAATATCTATGAATTAATGGCCAAATTTGGGTGTTTCATTGTTTGTTCATTCATTTTCACATCAAAATTTTTATCTAACAAGAAGTTTTAGCATGATACTTAAAGTATTTCTGAACACAAAAAAAACATTTGAAATTTGGCCCAAACTATATTTACTTATTTCTTATCGCAGTGGAGGGATAAAACTACTAAATAGGGAAATTCTGAAAAAATAAAATCGCCAAATTTATCACCAAAAAAATCCAACAGAAAGCTATAAAAAATAAAGCTTTTACTATGGAAGTCTTTGGGAGAGAGGTTGAGAAATTTTCTTGTGGGACTGGGAAGGAGGTGATCATTTTCTAGTCTGGTACCTCAGTCTACATAGAAATAAAAGACTGTAGTGGTAGTTAGGTACCAGACGAAACTTCTAGTTTGCAGCATGCGGCAGCATGGACGGCATGACTTCGTTTTGGAAGGTTTTCTTCTCAAAAATTGTTGAAAATGCGTGGTTTTGGAGGTTGCTTGCCTCACTTATTGCCACAAGAACAAGTTTAGATGTTGGTGAAATCCGTCAGAAACTGTGTATCTCTGTGAATTGCTGGGTTTGAGTCTTGACTTGAAGAACCATGCGGCTGAAAATGGGATTTGAATGTCGCGGCATTTCTGCACGTGGTCTGAGCCATGCGCCAGCACACGAATGGGAAAATGGTGAGTGAATTTTTTGTGTGTGAAAGTTTTGAAAAACAGCAATATTATGTGAACTTGCAACTGATTCTGGGAACAAATATATTATGTATAGATTTGGAAAGTTCAGAAGGAATGCGCATATATGCAAATGGGAAATGGTGAGTAGGCCTATATATTTGGAATGATTCCCATGTCATTATCTGGCCATGACTTGTCACCCTGTGCACAAACCCTATGGGACTGGTCTGTTTTCTCAGTAAAAATTCGAAATTTGTCTTTGCTAATTTTGACTTTTTTTAGGACATAGGTTTATTAGGTCATTTAAGAGAAAAATTACTGATGGCCAGATATGGGAATCTTTCCTTCTCGGTTTGTGTAGTTGAGGACACCTCCTTTCTATGATATTCTTAAAAAAAGTTTTGTCGCTTCCCCAATGTTCTGACCCTAATTATTTAATCGGCTCTCTAACCTGATTTTCCGGTATTAAACAAGCATGTGAATTGACACACTGCACCGCGGTATGGAAGCTAGTCTGGTTCCCAGACCAAAATATACTAAATAGCATGTATTTTTTAATTAATGTGGAACGAGAACTAGGGAAGCAGGCTGCACTACATCAACCAATCACCGACGGTCTGCCAAACTGCTTGGACACTATTGCCAAGTCTGTTTTCAGCATTTTCATTTTTTTTTTACGTCATTTTACCCCACAATTTCCCTCAAATATCAAAACCCTGCCCTCTTTCCGCAATAATAATCCTGCAGTTGTTTAATATGGTGTTGTTAATTGCTATTTAATTGAGTCCAAAAGTTGGCTTCTAAATAGAAATTTTCATCGACGAATCAGCGACGTTTTACCAAACCAGCTTGTAATGAAGTTGTATATGTACATTGTAAACACCTGAGGGCGCACTTTTTAAATTAGTCGCCATGTTCATAAGTTTTGTAGCTGTGGTGGTTTTACCAAAAGAAATCAGAATTCAAACCCTGTCGTCTTTCTGCAAAATTAATCCTGCAGAAATACATACATGTATACAAAATGGTTGTCAACGTCATCTACTCGGGTGAGTCCCAAAGTTAAAAATGTGCCAATGAATGGGATAGCGCCATCATTTTCTAATAAGCCAACCCCATCCAGCAACCCCAGCCCATCAAACCGGCCCGCACCAACCATGGCTGGACACAGCAACAAGATCCCCACTGCGTCACTGGGAGTCTCAGCCGAGCTCAACCCAATTGTATCCCGTCAAGCAACCCCAACCCAATGATCAAACCCAAACACGACGGTCGAGTTGTCTCAACGGTCGAGTTGTCCCAACGGTCGAGTTGTCACAACGGTCAAGTTGTCTCAATGGACGAGTTCAACAGTCGAGTTGTCCCAATGGTCGAGTTGTCTTAACGGTCGAGTTGTCTCAACGGTCGAGTTGTCTCAACGGTCGAGTTGTCCCAACGGTCGAGTTGTCCCAACGGTCGAGTTGTCCCAAAGGTCGAGTTGTCCCAACGGTCGAGTTGTCCCAACGGTCGAGTTGTCCCAGCGGTCGAGTTGTCCCAGCGGTCGAGTTGTCCCAACGGTCGAGTTGTCCCAACGGTCGAGTTGTCCCAACGGTCGAGTTGTCCCAACGGTCGAGTTGTCCCAACGGTCGAGTTGTCGCAACGGTCGAGTTGTCGCAACGGTCGAGTTGTCGCAACGGTCGAGTTGTCCCAACGGTCGAGTTGTCCCAACGGTCGAGTTGTCCCAACGGTCGAGTTGTCCCAGCGGTCGAGTTGTCCCAGCGGTCGAGTTGTCCCAGCGGTCGAGTTGTCCCAACGGTCGAGTTGTCCCAACGGTCGAGGTGTCCCAACGGTCGAGTTGTCCCAACGGTCGAGTTGTCCCAACGGTCGAGTTGTCCCAACGGTCGAGTTGTCCCAACGGTCGAGTTGTCCCAGCGGTCGAGTTGTCCCAGCGGTCGAGTTGTCCCAGCGGTCGAGTTGTCCCAACGGTCGAGTTGTCCCAACGGTCGAGGTGTCCCAACGGTCGAGTTGTCGCAACGGTCGAGTTGTCGCAACGGTCAAGTTGTCGCAATGGTCGAGTTGTCGCAACGGTCGAGTTGTCTCAATTATCGAGTTGTCTCAATGGTTGAGTTGTCTTAACAATCGAGTTGTCTCAACGGTCGAGTTGTCTCAACGGTCGAGTTGTCTCAACGGTCGAGTTGTCTCAACGGTCAAGTTGTTTCAACGGTCGAGTTGTTGGAAAATTCCAGCTTAAATGATCAACTCTGAAAAACCATTATAATATCTACTTACATACATGTATACCCAACTACGGGCAGAAAATTATTTTGTTATTTTTTGGGGGCATTTTCAAAGATTCACTCAGTGCACTTCGAAATAGAATCGGATAAGCATGCCCAAATATACGTCTCAGGCTAATTTTGTCACTTGTACCGGTAGATAAACTTGCGATTTAAAGGGAGTGTTAGAACTTGATGAAATTTCTATGTCTGTGAAATTCCAGTTAGGCCTTAAGGCATTTAGTAAAGGCATCTCATCTGGGTTTGGATAATAGGGGAAAAGGACCATTTTAGTAATTTTAGTAATTTTTAAATAAATAAAATTCCCGGCCTCCGCCATTTTTCACATACAGAACTCTTTTCCTTATAGCTCCAAGCATGCGCGCATGCAAGCATGGACGTGGGCGAAGTAGCAAAAGGGGCGAAGTGCCGATTCGGCGACGTGGAAATTGTCAAACGGTCGAACTCTTTTCCTTATAGCTCCAAGCATGCGCGCATGCAAGCATGGACGTGGGCGAAGTAGCAAAAGGGGCGAAGTGCCGATTCGGCGACGTGGAAATTGTGCGTAGAGGTAATTCAGAGAAGTGGCAAATAGGTGAAGTGTTAATTCGGCAAAGTGGTAATTTGGCGCAGTGGTATTTCGGTGAAATGGCAATTAGTGTTGTAGGTCTAGAGTCACATTTATTGTGACTCGGACTCGAGTCACATGGAAAAATGACTCAGACTCGAGCTTGTATGGTGACTCGTGACTCGAGTCACATATTTTCATCAAAAGAAAAAAACAATGTATTTTGCAATGAACGTAGCATTCTTTTTAGACAAAACACGGTGCTGCGGAAAATCATGTTTGAAATGGTTGAATAATGTTGGATGATAAAACATGGAGGGAAGGGATGGAGGAGGAATTTTTTAGGGATAAGAATTAAAAGGAAAACACATTTTGGGTCAAGCAGCATGTATGTACACACACACAGTGTAAACCATACACTGGGATTTACTTAAAAGACAGAATGCATGATGGAAACATGATTGAAAAAAAAAATGAAATTTGTACTTTATACATTTGTGTAGGCTACAAACTGTGGCATCTTCTTCAAAACATGAGCTATTTGTTTTTATGAGTTTTTGGGGTTGTTATTTCCTGAAGTGAAGAGTATTTGATTAATTCACAATGATTGATGAAATGAGGGGTGTCATCCCTGTCGATCGTGTGTCTAAGGGCCTGGTTCCTTAGTATAAGGGAACAAACTCCGCTGTTAATGTATTTGATCTACCAAATTAGTTGGAGACATTATATACATGCAGACTCATGACTTGTATGTCATACATGTAATTTCTAGAGTGGGGGGAGGGGGGGGGGCGCAAGTCCAATGCATTGCAACTTCTCAAATTTGCCACTTGAAAAAGTGGTTTTTAATTTTTATAGTGCAAAACTCAATGAAAGTCTTGTGAAATCAGATATGATTTTTACCCTTTGTTGTGTCTGTCCAACCCTAACCCTGCTGAATCCAACAGAATCCAACTATATCATATACCTGATGGAGCCTGTTGGATTGAGCAGTAAATTCCTTGTGTACATTCCTGATGCAAATGTTGGATTCAGCAGGCAACTGAACCGCATTATAACGCATTGTTGGACTCAGTTGGATTCAGCAGACAACTGAAAATAAGGCATGTGGATTGAGCAGAGCAAATCCGGTTGAACTCTGTTGGATTTAGCAGGGTAGTCCTGATCGGATCAGGAACTACTCAAAGTCTCTCACTCCATCTTGTCATGAACAATGTGTTCCTCAGACCCCTAAGTCCAGAAATGAATTGTTCCTATATTCATGAATGGCGGCCACGTGGTGCAGGGTTTATTTCAAGCGAAGGAAGGCGCTTATAAAGAATTGGAGGAGACGTAATCAGTGCCTGCTGCGTGACCATAAAATAATGAACATTAATGTTCCACATGCAAAAACAGGGCCTGTCATTCGTCAGATGTAAAGTGTCTCCCAGAATTTCATTTTCATTTTGTAGGGGAAGGGGCAATTTATCATTGAAAAAAATTTATCGGAAATTGAACTGTGTTTTTCAAAGGGTGCATGCCAAAGTGAAAATTGTGTTATTTTAAGGATTTGACATCTAACTGATGATTTGATATTTCCCCACCAGGTCCTTGAGAGCATAGGAGGCCTCATCTCAGCAGGAGTCTTCATCTATGAGAATGGGCTATTACGATTCCAGTCGGCCACACTTCAAGAAACAGCCTATGGACTCCTGGTGGAAAAACAACAGCGCAAGCTGCATGAGACATACACCATCTACTTAGAGCAACGGTACCTCGGATTCATCAATGAAAAAGGTAAGAAAATTTTATTCTTTTACTGACATGGTCTTACACTTGCGCCACTTGCACACTACGCTCCCTGCCATATTGATGCAAAATCATTCAAGTAATCAAAAAAATTGCAAAAAAAATGCTTGTTCTGAAGTAAAAACATCTAAACTGTACAAACTTATCGTCAGTAGCACCATGAACCGTCGTATCTCGATTTTTGGGCCAAATTGACTTGGTTTTTATTTTGTCAAGTGCTCATTTTCACATGTTTTTATTCTGATCCGAGGTCTTAACTAAGAAGGCTAATTAGACTATGCAGCATATCTCTAAAAAAAAGTTGCACCATTATGCTGCTTCGCACGCTATTTCCTGTAGCACTGTGACGTAACTAAACAGCACCAGCATGAAAAGTGTGAATTTATCGTTTCACGAACTGGTGTCATATGAAAATCTGACTCGTATGAAAATCGGACGCTTTTTTTCCCGTTTTATTGGTTAAACACTCTAACGTGACCGGTCCCTCTCCTAATTATCTATGCATGAGCATGCAAAATACCACCAATGAGTCCGTATTTCATGAAACCTAAATTCATGCTACACCGGCGTATCCTCGTATCTGTGACGTGGCCACAATTACAAGCGTTAATTGTATGAAATACAATAAAGTAAGTTTTACAAAGTGACGTGTATATCTTGGGAGCTGAATATCTTTAAAATTAAGCAATTCAGAAGCAAAGGGATTGCGTGCGATGCAATTTATACTATAATTTTCTAGCTGAAATGAAACGGATTGAATTCTTAAACAGGAAGTACATGTATAAGGAATAAGCCGACCAAAATGTGATCACTTTTAAGTAGTTTTTTTTTTCTCACAACACCAAAAATTGCGATACGACGGTTCGTGGTGCGACTGACATTTCATGCAAATTATATAGGCCTATATCTGAAGCTTTCATTTCATTGCGAGGGAAAAACTGCTGCTTGCAAATTTGGCCGGCATTTTCCATGGACTTTCTGTACATTGATTTGCTGTGTTTTCCCCAAAATTGAAACAATTTTTATCATGTGCAATTGTACTCAATTTTTGGTGCTGATCGAAGGGGGAAAAAACCCTCAAATGTTATTCTGACTTGCCCATCTTTGATCTTCAAAAATCTGCTGCTGAAATTAAAAACCATTTTTTTCCCCCGACAGCAAAAATGCCGTCTTGCCCACTTTGGGGGTTTGCCCACAGCATCTGTCATGCTCAGTAACCTTTTACACTGTTGACCTGCCTATCTAATGAGCTTTCTTGGCTGGCGGCAGACAATAGTTAAGAATGCTTATTGTCCAATGTTATATAATCAGGCCTTTGAGTTAAAACAGCCAAAAAGCTCCCATCAGAAAAGGACATTTTGCCCATGCATGTTACAACAATGTACATGTAGTATACCAGTAATGTTTGTATTAGGCCGAGTTACATTTATTGCTTTAAAAATACCAGTTTTCTGGTGTCAGTTTTGTACATCAAATTTCTTGCAAATAAGACTCAACTTGTTAACTGTATACATGTAGCAGTCAAGATGTTCTGTCCATGCTCCTGAATCTAAAACAATTTAACCATGGATTCTCAACACAAGGGTAAATGACTTCACCAAATTTGTGGTTGAGGCGTGATATGGCAAGTACTTGTGCGCCGTGCGTGCATGTGTGAGACCCGGCGCGCAACTGCAGTCTTTCAGTGGTCACATTTCTGTTGGTGATGATGACGCTCGCATTTTCTTCAACATCTTTTTTGCATCGTACACAAGCCCAGATGAGTCTTTTATAATTGTGTAGAGGATCCGTGGTTGAGCTAAACCTGAAACCTTTTCTTGCCTGAACCCTAATCTTATTGTGAATTTTTTTTTTTGTTGATTTCAGAAAGGAAGACATTCAGCCAAAAAAGAAGAGTTGAATGGTTCAGCAGAGGTGAGTTGAACCGTCAATCAAATACAGTGGAACGTCCCTATACCGAACACCGCTATACCGAATATTTGGCTATACCGAACATCATCCTTGGCTCCCAAATATTGTGTACAAAACGTACCAAACATTGTTGTCGGAAATGTCAACAGAAGAGCGACAAATGGCTATTTCCCCAACAAATAATCGGAAAAGGCCACCCATGTAAGCTCAAAAACTTTGTAATTCAATAATCGCACGTGTTCAAAGTTGTCTTTCAGTAACTAGTAGTTTTGCTACAGAATTGAAAAAATATTAATGGACAAGTTAAGCGACTCTGCTCGTGGTTTGTAAATGCAACTACGCAATAACAAAAATGATCAAAAGAGGTCACCACTGATGTGAAAATTGCTGTACCGAACAATCGCTATTACAAACAATTTCTGTGGATCCCACGATATTCGTTATAGCAACGTTCCATTGTAGTTCCTCAATTGCCTTCCTTGCGGTTTTTAGGATGAGTCTGCTGCTGAAAATGAAATTAAAAACCATTTTTGTTCCCACTGCATTAAAAAAAAAAAAAAAAGCAAATCAAAATACTTTTTCAACTTGAAAAAAAAATTTTTTTTTTAACAACTTTTTTGAAAAAAACTTTCCTTTCAAAAGAGACAACTCACTCACTTGCCATCCCACCCACCCTGCAAAAAGCTGTTCTGATGTGCTTATCTGGGCTTCATCGATGTTACAGCGTCAAAAAGCTGTCTTGCCCACTTTGGGGGTTTGCCCACAGCATCTGCCATGCTCAGTAACCTTTTTACACTGTTGACCTGCCTATCTAATGAGCTTTCTTAGCTAGCTGCTGACAATAGTTAAGAATTTTTATTGTCAAAAGTTATATCATCAGGCCTTTGAGTTAAAACAGCCAAAAAGCTCCCATCAGAAAAGCACATTTTTTCCATGCATGTTACAACCATGTAGGTATACCAGTACTGTTTGTATTAGGCCGAGTTACACTTATTGCTTTAAAAATACCAGTTTTCTGGTGTCAGTTTTGTACATAAAATGTTCTTGCAAATAAGACTCAACTTGTTAACTGTTTACATGTAGCAGTCAAGATGTTCTGTCCATGCTCCTGAATCTAAAACAATTCAACCATGGATTCTCTACACAAGGGTAAATGACTTCACCAAATTTCTGGTTGAGGCGTGATATGGCAAGTACTTGCGCGCCGTGCGTGCATGTGCGAGACTCGGCGCGCAACTGCAGTCTTTCAGTGGTCACATTTCTGTTGGTGATGATGACGCTCGCATTTTCTTCTACATCTTTTTTGCATCATACACAAGCCCAGATGAGTCTTTTATACTTGTGTAGAGGATCCGTGGTTGAGCTAAACCTGAAACCTTTTCTTGCCTGAACCCTAATCTTATTGTGAATTTTTTTTTTTTGTTGATTTCAGAAAGGAAGACATTCAGCCAAAAAAGAAGAGTTGAATGGTTCAGCAGAGGTGAGTTGAACCATCAATCAAATACAGTGGAACGTCCCTATACCGAACACCGCTATACCGAACATTTGGCTATACCGAACATCATCCTTGGCTCCCAATTTTTATGTACAAAACGTACCGAACATTGTTGTCGAAAATGTCAACAGAAGAGCGACAAATGGCTATTTCCCCAACAAATAGTAGGAAAAAGCCACACATGTAAGCTCAAAAACTTTGTAATTCAATAATCGCACGTGTTCAAAGTTGTCTTTCAGTAACTAGTAGTTATGCTACAGAATTGAAAAAAATATTAATGGACATGTTAAGCGACTCTGCCCGTGGTTTGTAAATGCAACTACGCAATAACAAAAATGATCAAAAGAGGTCACTACTGATGTGAAAATCGCTGTACCGAACGATCGCTATTACAAACAATTTCTGTGGATCCCACGATATTCGTTATAGCAACGTTCCATTGTAGTTCCTCAATTGCCTTCCTTGCGGTTTTTAGGGCGAGTCTGCTGCTGTAATTAAAAACCACTTTTGTTCCCACTGCATTAAAAAAAAAAAGCAAATCCAAAAACTTTTTCAACTTCCAAATATTTTTTTTTTTACTTTTTTAATGGAAAAAATCTTCCCTTTCAAATGTGACAACTCACTCACTTGCCATCCCACCCACCCAGCAAAAAGCTGCTCTGATGTGCTTATCTGGGCTTCATCGATGTTACAGCGTCGAAAAGCTGTCTTGCCCACTTTGAGGGTTTGCCCACAGCATCTGCCATGCTCAGTAACCTTTTACACTGTTGACCTGCCTATCTAATGAGCTTTCTTGGCTGGCAGCAGACAATAGTTAAGAATTTCTATTGTCAAAAGTTATATCATCAGGCCTTTGAGTTAAAACAGCCAAAAAGCTCCCATCAGAAAAGCACATTTTTCCCATGCATGTGTTACAACCATGTAGGTATACAGGCACTGTTTGTATTAGGCTGAGTTACACTTATTGCTTTAAAAATTACCAATTTTCTGGTGTCAGTTTTGTACATAAAATGTCTTGCAAATAAGACTTAACTTGTTAACTGTTTACATGTAGCAGTCAAGATGTTCTGTCCATGCTCCTGAATCTAAAACAATTTAACCATGGATTCTCAACACAAGGGTAAATGACTTCACCAAATTTCTGGTTGAGGCGTGATATGGCAAGTACTAGCGCGCCGTGCGTGCATGTGTGAGACTCATCGCGCAACTGTAGTCTTTCAGTGGTCACATTTCTGTCAGTGATGATGGCACTCGCATTTTCTTCTACCTTGTGTAGAGGACCCATGGTTGAGCTAAACGTGTTTTTATTCAGTGTCTCATTTGAAAGAAATTGACTTCTGACTTGCTATTAACTAGCAACTTTTCAAGTTCTCTATTTTCTGGGGAACCTGGAAGAAGCATGGGCAATATTTCTTGAACGGTTCACTGAAGTCTGCAAAGGATAAAGCGTTTCATCTTACCAATGCAGTTAAAAACTGACATTCCTTTTCTTGCCTGAACTTATTGTGAATTCTTTTTTTGTTGATTTCAGAAAGGAAGACATTCAGCCAAAAAAGAAGCGTCGAATGGTTCAGCAGAGGTGAGTTGAACCGTCAATAAAATACAGTGGAACGTCCCTATACCGAACACCGCTATACCGAACATTCGGCTATACCGAACATCATCCTTGGCTCCCAATTTTTATGTACAAAGGTACCGAACATTGTTGTCGGAAATGTCAACAAAAGAGCGACAAATGGCTATTATTTCCCCAACAAATAGTAGGAAAAAGCCACCCATGTAAGCTCAAAAACTTTGTAATTCAATAATCGCACGTGTTCAAAGTTGTCTTTCAGTAACTACTAGTTATGCTACGGAATTAAAAAAATATTAATGGACATGTTAAGCGACTCTGCTCGTGGTTTGTAAATGCAACTACGCAATAACAAAATGATCAAAAGAGGTCACCACTGATGTGAAAATCGCTGTACCGAACGATCGCTACTACAAACAATTTCTGTGGATCTCACGATATTCGTTATAGCAACGTTCCATTGTAGTTCCTCAATTGCCTTCCTTGCGGTTTTTAGGATGAGTCTGCTGCTGAAATTAAAAACCATTTTTGTTCCCACTGCATTAAAAAAAAAAAAAAGCAAATCAAAATACTTTTTCAACTTCAAAAATTTTTTTTTTTTTTTACCTTTACTTTTTAAAAAAAAAAAAAAACTTTCCTTTCAAAAGAGACAACTCACTCACTTGCCATCCCACCCACCCTGCAAAAAGCTGTTCTGATGTGCTTATCTGGGCTTCATCGATGTTACAGCGTCGAAAAGCTGTCTTGCCCACTTTGGGGGTTTGCCCACAGCGTCTGCCATGCTCAGTAACCTTTTACACTCTTGACCTGCCTATCTAATGAGCTTTCTTAGCTAGCTGCTGACAATAGTTAAGAATTTTTATTGTCAAAAGTTATATCATCAGGCCTTTGAGTTAAAACAGCCAAAAAGCTTCCATCAGAAAAGCACATTTTTCCCATGCATGTTACAACCATGTAGGTATACAGGCACTGTTTGTATTAGGCAGAGTTACACTTATTGCTTTAAAAATTACCAGTTTTCTGGTGTCAGTTTTGTACATAAAATTTCTTGCAAATAAGACTTAACTTGTTAACTGTTTACATGTAGCAGTCAAGATGTTCTGTCCATGCTCCTGAATCTAAAACAATTTAACCATGGATTCTCAACACAAGGGTAAATGACTTCACCAAATTTCTGGTTGAGGCGTGATATGGCAAGTACTAGCGCGCCGTGCGTGCATGTGTGAGACTCATCGCGCAACTGTAGTCTTTCAGTGGTCACATTTCTGTCAGTGATGATGGCACTCGCATTTTCTTCTACCTTGTGTAGAGGACCCATGGTTGAGCTAAACGTGTTTTTATTCAGTGTCTCATTTGAAAGAAATTGACTTCTGACTTGCTATTAACTAGCAACTTTTCAAGTTCTCTATTTTCTGGGGAACCTGGAAGAAGCATGGGCAATTTTCCTTAAACGGTTCACTGAAGTATGCAAAGGATAAAGCGTTTTGTCTTACCAATACAGTTAGAAATGTGTAAACTGACATTCCTTTTCTTACCTGAACTTATTGTGAATTTTTTGTGTGTTGATTTCAGAAAGGAAGATATTCAGCCAAAAAAGAAGAGCCCAATGGTTCAGCAGAGGTGAGTTGAACCGTCAATCAAATACAGTGGAACGTCGCTATACCGAACATTCGGCTATACCGAACATCATCCTTGGCTCCCAGTTTTTGTGTACAAAACGTACTGAACATTGTTGTTGAAAATGTCAATAGAAGAGCGACAAATGGCTATTACTTCCCCAACAAATAGTAGGAAAAAGCCACCCATGTATTGCTAAAAACTGTGTAATTCAATACTCGCACGTGTTGGAAGTCGTCTTTCAGTAACTACTAGTTACCAATTTGCCAATTTCTGTGGTTGTGACATCTTGAAGATGTTGTGTTAGAGCTCGATCTTTTACTTCGAGACTCTGAGTCTTTTAAATCTGGTTCTCCTCCCTCCCTTACATTTAACAGTTTTAATCTTCTCTTGTAATAAGCATATTTCAATAAGTTTAATCATGTTGATGATGTGACATCTGACCGATGATTTGATATTTCCCCACCAGGTCCTTGAGAGCATAGGAGGCCTCATCTCAGCAGGCGTCTTCATCTATGAGAATGGGCTGTTACGATTCCAGTCGGCCACACTTCATGAAACAGCCTATGGACTCCTGGTGGAAAAACAACGGCGCAAGCTGCATCAGAGATGCACCATCTACTTAGAGCAACGTTACCTCGGATCCATCAACGAAAAAAGTAAGACAACTTTATTCTTTTACTGACATGGTCTTACACTCGCACACTAAGCTCTCTGCCATATTGATGCAAAATCATTCAGTGGTAATCAAAAAATGGGGGAAAAAATGCTTGTTCTGAAGTAGAAAAATCTTAACTGTACAAACTTATCATCAGTCACACCATGAACTGTCGTATCGCAATTTTTTGGTATTTTGAGAAAAAAAAAACGATTTAAAAGAGCTCACATTGTGGTTATTTCATTTTATTTTGACTTGCCCTTCTTTGATGTTCAAAAGTCTACTGCAGTCTTTCAGCGGTCACATTTCTGTCGGCGATGATGACAATCGCATTTTCTTCTACATCTTTTTTGCATCGTACACAAGCCCAGAGGAGTCTTTTATACTTGTGTAGAGGATCCGTGGTTGAGCTAAACCTGAAACCTTTTCTTGCCTGAACCTTAATCTTATTTTGAATTGTTTTTTGTTGATTTCAGAAAGGAAGACATTCAGCCGAAAAAGAAGAGTCCAATGGTTCCGCAGAGGTGAGTTGAACCGTCAATCAAATACAGTGGAACGTCCCTATACTGAACACTGCTATACCGAACATTTGGCTATACCGAACATTTGGCTATACCGAACATCATCCTTGGCTCCCAATTTTTATGTACAAAAGGTACTGAACATTGTTGTCGGAAATGTCAACAGAAGAGCGACAAATGGCTATTACTTCCCCAACAAATAGTAGGAAAAAGCCACCCATGTAAGCTCAAAAACTGTGTAATTCAATAATCGCACGTGTTGGAAGTTGTCTTTCAGTAACTACTAGTTCTGCTACGGAATTGAAAGTATTAATGGACATGTTAAGTGACTCCGGGCATGGTTTGTAAATGCAACTACACATTAACAATGATCAAAAGAGGTCGCCACTAATGTGAAAATCGCTGTACCGAATGATCGCTATTACAAACAATTTCTGTGGATCCCACGATGTCCGTTATAAAAAAAGTTCCACTGTAGTTCCTCAATTGCCTTCCTTGCGGTTTTTAGGATGAGATCGTTGTTTCCTTTGTGAAAGTCAATTGGAACACTACGTTTTGTCAAACATGCTTATATTTTAGCAAGCTAAAAACTAATGCCCCTATCACACAGTGCCGTTCTAGCATCCCCCTGAAGCCATGCGATTGAGAATGCTGATTTCGTTGGCGGGCAAATCTTTGAAAATTATTTTCTTCCATTTGAAAGACCGGCGATTTGGACCAAAATTACATAAGGTTCCTGTATGAAGCGTACACTATCCTCTACCTACTGAAACTTGCCATTGGTATCGGCCTTTTTTAAGAGTCGAATGTGCACCTACAGGTACGAACAATCTGCCTTTGATTTTGTTATTATGATTTTTGTTTGATGTGCCGTTACAACACTTCAATTTTGTCAAAAGCAGAACTTTGTATTTGCCATCAAAATCAAGCACACCTTTTCACTTATATCGCTATCTTGGCCGAACAGTGCAGTCTTCAGGTATTTATCACGTATTTCTGATGTCTCCAATTCAATCTCATAAAATTTCGCGAATACTTTCGGGACATGTGTGCGTGATCCCTAGGCAAGAAACTGAAGTCAAACAGGGCTCTGCGCATGACACGGCCACTGACCGTACTAAAGCAGATGATCCTCGATTTCAAGCTTTCTGACTTGGATTTTGTCTTTTTAATTTCAGGGGTTTGAGGACTGCATCTTCAAGCTCGAGATGCAAGGAGCCTGCATTACTTGGCCCAGCTTGAGCTGACACTGAAGAGGAGTTACACAACATGCTGCTGTTCTGTGTGCCGGAACCGATTTATTTTATGAGAGGCCTATAGATGAAAAGTTACAATTCACACATTCGCCATTGAAAGAAGAAGCCACAGAAGTATGACATGATGCGGGTCATCTCCAACAGTGATGTGTCTAAACAATGTCTCGTAGGACAATTTTACCATAGGATTTACGTGGAAATAAAGTTGAACAGTTTAAAGTTGAATTTTCTCAGAATTTAAAGTTGAAGGTTTACCACTTAAAGTATTTTAATGTTATGTTATAATAATGGCTTATTACCTTGACCGTTACAAAATGTTGATGAACACTCACTTTAATTTCAAACCATTTATTGTTATATAAAATATAGAGGCAATCCACGTAACGTTTTGAATATGTTATGTTAATGTTATTTTTTTCCTTAAGCAAGGCCAACCCATTAGCGTTTTGGAAATAAGATTTAAAAAGGAGTTCAGATTGTTTATTTTCAAATGTGGATGACATTTTAATGGATTTAGCTCTGTAATTAGTTCACCAGTACTTTTGCTTTTCTACTCTTAATGATTAATGATCTTATGTTTAATGAACTTTAGTCATATTTGTCCTAGAGTTAAAAAAAAAAACACACCTGATTATCGTGTCTTAATGCACGAGTTGTACGAGTTTTATTTGCTGGCAAAGTTTATAAAAAAGGTAAGTGACTAATAAATGTTGGTGAATATTAACGATTGAATATATACTGGAATAAAAAGAGAGAACAGGCAAAGATAAACCTCATATTTGAAAGAGTGAATTATTACTGTGTTATTACAACAATAGAGGATATAGAATAATAGAGAATCACATGAATAATATAGTACAATATTATCTAGTTATATAGTAACAATAATATAGAACAATATTATCTAGTTATATAGTAACAATAATAAAAATGAACTATTTTATCGTGATTGCATTTAATCTTGTTTATATAGTAACAATATTAAAAAAGTCCTGTTTTATCGGGTTCGCATTTTATCGAGTTAAAAGTAGTAATGAATCGAGTAGTAACATTGAATCGAGTAGTAACCCAAAAATTCGCTCCCAAAAATTCGCTCCCAAAAATTCGCACCCAAAAATTCGCACCCAAAAATTCGCACCCAAAAATTCGCACCCAAAAATTCGCACCCAAAAATTCGCACCCAAAAATTCGCACCCAAAAATTCGCACCCAAAAATTCGCACCCAAAAATTCGCACCCAAAAATTCGCACCCAAAAATTCGCACCCAAAAATTCGCACCCAAAAATTCGCACCCAAAAATTCGCACCCAAAAATTCGCACCCAAAAATTCGCACCCAAAAATTCGCACCCAAAAATTCGCACCCAAAAATTCGCACCCAAAAATTCGCACCCAAAAATTCGCACCCAAAAATTCGCACCCAAAAATTCGCACCCAAAAATTCGCACCCAAAAATTCGCACCCAAAAATTCGCACCCAAAAATTCGCACCCAAAAATTCGCACCCAAAAATTCGCACCCAAAAATTCGCACCCAAAAATTCGCACCCAAAAATTCGCACCCAAAAATTCGCACCCAAAAATTCGCACCCAAAAATTCGCACCCAAAAATTCGCACCCAAAAATTCGCACCCAAAAATTCGCACCCAAAAATTCGCACCCAAAAATTCGCACCCAAAAATTCGCACCCAAAAATTCGCACCCAAAAATTCGCACCCAAAAATTCGCACCCAAAAATTCGCACCCAAAAATTCGCACCCAAAAATTCGCACCCAAAAATTCGCACCCAAAAATTCGCACCCAAAAATTCGCACCCAAAAATTCGCACCCAAAAATTCGCACCCAAAAATTCGCACCCAAAAATTCGCACCCAAAAATTCGCACCCAAAAATTCGCACCCAAAAATTCGCACCCAAAAATTCGCACCCAAAAATTCGCACCCAAAAATTCGCACCCAAAAATTCGCACCCAAAAATTCGCACCCAAAAATTCGCACCCAAAAATTCGCACCCAAAAATTCGCACCCAAAAATTCGCACCCAAAAATTCGCACCCAAAAATTCGCACCCAAAAATTCGCACCCAAAAATTCGCACCCAAAAATTCGCACCCAAAAATTCGCACCCAAAAATTCGCACCCAAAAATTCGCACCCAAAAATTCGCACCCAAAAATTCGCACCCAAAAATTCGCACCCAAAAATTCGCACCCAAGTACAAATCGGGGGGGAGGGGCTTGACCAGGCAGGCTTGTGGGGGAGGGGGGAGGTAGGCGGAGGGCTGGTTTGGGGGGGGGGAGGGTTGGCGCAGGGCTGTACTCGATCCGGGGACCCGCCGCTTCCCGGTCGCAACACCTACCTACTACACAATCCGGGTCCCCCGGTAGAAATACGTTTTTAATAAACTTAACTCACAGGTTTCAATCTATAAAACTAGACTAAAAAGACCCAACTGGAATTTGAACCCACAACCTCTCACTTTGGAGAGGAGAGTTCTCACTACTTGCCAAACACATCTCTGAAAGAATAACTCTGAACTAACATATGAACCTTAGGTGGAAATTTTTTTTCAAAAAAAAAAAATTAAAAAATTTACGACGCCACTTTTGGATCTCAGTTTTGGATCAACCATTTTGGACTATTCCATTCTTTTTATCGAAATTGATCGCAACTACATTAAATTTATTCTCAGAAATTCACAACGGTCAGGGGTTAGCCTTGCATTTTTTATAACAAATGGGAAGCGCCGAGTGAATTCGTAAATTAAGAATCCACACTTGCGAGTGTATTCTTCGACTTTAACCATTGCGTCAAAAGAAGTATTGGCATTAACAGTAAGTGGAGATGAAAAGACTTGGGATAAATGTTGCAACCTGACGCCACTTCCGCGATTGTGTACAAAGTCTATGGAGAGTCAAGATTTTTTTTCAAGTATATTCTCACAAAATTGGAAATATTTCTCAGTCCCACATTCATGTCTTATCATCATTTTTGCAATGAATGCCTTTCATTGAGATGATATATGGGGGAAAAAAAGTGGCGGTAGGTTGCAACATTTGTCACGGCTCCTTCCGTCGACAAATTGATAGTTCGTAATTCCGAATCCACACTTTGTGACCAGCGTAACAGATTCGTAGATCCGAATACACACTTTTAACAATAGTGTGACGTCATAGCAATGTTTTAATAAGGGGTTAATTAGCCTTGTATTTTCATCACAAATTACAAACGGTAAGGCATTAGCCTTACATTTTCATTAAAACAGGGCAAAAGTTAAGTTTTTATCACCAATTCAAACGGTAAGGGGTTAGCCTTGCATTTGTATCGAAATGGGACGCACTCAAATTCAAAACGGTAAAGGCCCTGTCACACTGTCTGTGATCTTATATGCGCTCTCACTGCGTCCTTGAAAAATAGATGAGGCGCAACAACAACTACTACATCGCAGCGCCCACTACATAGGTCGCAACATGTTCGCCAGAGGGTCTTAATGGTCTTCGATGATCGCAAAGGTCTTTGAACATGCTCAAAACAATCGCAACACCTCTGCGCTCTGGCCAGGGCGCCCTAATGACGCAACTCGGGCGCTGTGCGAGCGTGAATCGTGCAACATTGAAGTGGCATTGAGGCAGCTTATGCGCAAGGCAGTCGATGTAGTCTCCATGATAAAGTAACTCGACTGCGATGAACTTGTAGAATAATTTTTGAAACTGGACTGTGTATTGACCGTTTTGTCGTGGCATTTATACAGCGCAAGTGACGTCACATGAGCGTACTTTGGTCGAATAGAGAGCGCGACGCGAGCTACTAGGACGTATCAACAGCGAGCAGAGCGTAGTGTGGGTGCAGTGACAGCGCAGAGGCAGCGACTAGATCGAGTAATTGGGCTTGACAGGGGCGCATAGAGAGCGAGTTGCACGCATCATAAGTGCGGGAAGAGCACAGTATGAGCGTAGCTTGAGCTTCTTTGGAGAGAAAGTTGTCATTTTCTTGCATCTTCGCTGCGATTGTTAAATTTATGAAAAACATTTGGTCGCCGTAAGGTCTCCTATGAGAGCGCATGTAATGGGACAGGCCCTTTAGGCATTAGCCTAGTGTTGATATCAAAATTCAAGAAAAATACATTTTGTATTAAAAATTCAACACGGTAATTAGGCAATAGCTTTGCATTTACATTAAAATGGGGTAAAAGTTAAGTTTTTATCACGAATTAACGGTATTGTATTTTCTTTAAAACAGGGCAAAAGTTAAGTTTTTATTACAAATTCAAAACGGTTAGGGTTATCCTAGTATTTTTATCAAAATTCAGCAAAAAAAATAAGGTGTCATTTCAAATTCAAACTGGCAAGGGGTTGGCTTTGCATTTTTATCAAAATGTGATGACATCAAATTCAAAACTGTAAGGAGTTAGCCTAGCGTTTATATCAAAATTCAGGAAAAATACATTTGTAGTACAAATTCAAAAAAGTGAGGGTTTATGCATGTACATGTAGCCTTGCATTTTTATCACAAATTATAAACGGTAAATATATGGGGCAAAATGTAAGTTTTTATCATGATTTAACAGTATTGCATTTTCTTTAAAACGGGGCAAAAGTTAAGGTTTTATCACAAATTCAAAACGGTCAGGGGCAGGCCTAGCATTTTTTTTTTAAATTCAGGACAAATATGTTCGTAGTAAAAATTCCAATCAGTAAGGGGTTGCATCTTGCTACAAATTAAACACGGTAAGGCAGTAGCCTTGCATTTTCATAACGACGCAAAACTTAATTTTTTATCCCCAATTTAAAACGGTAAGGGGTTTATTTATAGCCTTGCATTTTTCTCAAAACGGGACAAATTTTTATCCAAAACAGGTATAAAGCGGTTAGCAATGCATTTTTATCACACATTAAAAACAGTATAAGGCACTAAAGCCTTGTATGTTCATTAAAACGAGGCAAAACTAAGTTTTTAGCACAAATTCAAAACAGAACAGAGTTTTAGTACCCTTGCATTTTTTTTAACATTCAGCTTGCAAATTCAGTTTGCAATTTCATTTCAAACTTTTGTCTGTGAAATTGAACGTCAAGCTGCCATAAGTAATGGCAGAACCTACAAAGAATTGAATATATGGCATATGATGTGATCATCGTTCACTGAGCAAGACAAATATAGCTGCAAGAAAGACAAAGTAACACTGTTCACTGAGCAGGGCCCAATTTCACCGCGCTGCTAAGCACACATTTTTATGCCAACAGAGCCTCCGTCTATTTCATGGAGACAGTAAGCATAAGCACAGCAAAAGGCACGCTTACTTCAGAGGAAAAATTTGCTTAACTTGGTGACGTTACAATAGAAATCTCCATGCACACGCAGCCATTAGCACATCAGCGCCGTGAAATAGTGCTTAAGGTTAGCACATATTCTGCCATGCAGCACAACTTTTCTTCTAACTGTTAAGCAGCGCCATGAAATTGGGCCCAGGTCAAAAATCCTGGTAAGGTTGGTTTAAACAGGGCCACCACGAGAAGGTCCCAGGATACCAGCCCCAACGCGCTTTCAGTATCGTCAGGCCCATTGCTGGATAAAAGGTAGGCCCCGGAGGGCCAGACACAGTTATCGACTGTCCGGTCCGCCCGCCCAGCCCCGAAGGACCAGGAAAGCACCCTAACCTATATGCACGCCCCCCTAAGTCCATCCCCCTTACGGGTTCATGCGGTCTGATAGGAAGTAGCAGCGTTTGCCGGCTGTGAATACAGGGCCACGCCCCTATAAAGAGGGACGCACTACCTGCTCCT